TTTCATTTTTCACACAACTACAAGTTTATACACAGCGTGGTTTCATTTTCACACAACTACAAGTTTTAATTTTGTTTAATCAGAGACATTTTGACTAATAATTTGGTTTTTTAAATTGGTTTGTGGGTTATAACTATATTAATTAATTAATTAATTTTAAAAGTTGTACACCATTTTTTCGTTAGACTTATTCTTCCAAAGTCATTGTTAGGCAAGAGTCATCAATACTTTCAACAGTTGGCTTTCTGTGTTGTTCAACCGTGCACCAAAAAAATTAAGATATATATAGAGGGAATAAAAAAGAATTCTACTGATGGCATATATAATTAAATTGATTAGAATAAGCTTTCTATATTTATTTTCAGGAATATGTGGTAGTTGAACAACTTGGGGTGAACCTTATGTTCTCTTTTTTCCTCTCTATCTTTCTATTTTCTTTCAGAGTGGATATAAACTATCTTTCGAAACTTAAAAAATTACTAGTAATGACTAACTTAAATTTTGTTAGGTTAAAAATAAAGGTTGCGCAATTGGTAAAAAGCTAGGTTTTGGCGACACTAAGAAGCAACACAATTTATGTTGTAAAATTAGTATTACACCGTGTTCAACAAGATCATTTCGGATAGACAAGCTATCATTAGGTCATCACCAACTCCAAAACACAATTAATTTCTCGTGCACCTTCTTTAGTGTAAATGTTTGTTAATTTATTTACTATCATTTGCCTTTTTCTTAATCTTTAAATCAACGTCATTTTATATAATATGCTGTACAAATCTTATTTTAAAAGCATTGATTTACTCCTATCAAAAAAGGAGATAAAAACAAGACTTTGTCATTAAGTACAAAGGGTTATTATTATTATTACTAGGTATACTGAAGTGACTGCATGATATCTATACTTTCTTTTTTTTTTTTTTTTTTTTTTTTTTTTTTTTTTTCTTTTTTATTTTTTGTTTTTTTTTTTTTTTTTTTTTGCTTGAAGAGGATATCATATACTTCCGATCATAGATAATTATTCAACTCACATTCCTGCCACGTAGCTTCCTGACATCAACCATAGTGCGCTTACCATGTGACAATAAGTAATGGCGCCGTGCCCTCAGGTTATTCTTTCCCATATCATGAGCTGCTGGATTGCCCGTCCAGTCGCGCCTAGTGCAATGAGTTGACCATAATCAAAAAGATCCTCTCTGCTTCCCCTTCATGATAAATTCACTTGCTGCGCTGTTCTGTTACACTTTTGTTGTTTGTACCTGAACGGCTGATCTTGCCGCCCCACGCGGCCCAGATCCCCTGTGGGCGGACCCGCTTCGTTCGAAGCTGTACAGCGCCGACGCCGCACCCGGTCCACGCCCAGCTGGGCGTCTCCTGGCGGAATCCGCCTCTATAGGGCGCGCCGTGTCCCGGTACGGGCGGCTGGTCCGCGCGCCTGCGCGCGGACATCTAATGCCATATGACTGCCGTTGCAGCCGTATGGCAACTTGGAAACTGCTTCTCCTCCAAAAAAGCGCAACACCTGTATTTAAACCTTGATAGCCCAGAGCCACTAAGCTAACACCAGACCAAGCTGTTGAGCCAAAACTTGCCAGGACTAAGAAAGAAAGCCCAATAAGCGAGATTAAGCAAGCCAGCTGTTCTTTTTTTTTTTTTTTTTTTTTTTTTTTTTTTTTTTTGTTGAAAGGGATATCTATACTTTCATGATAGATAATTTTCAACTCACATTCCTGCCACGTTAGTTCCTGACATCCATAGTTGGTTACCATGTGAGATAAGGTAATGGGTGCCCTCATGTTATTCTTTTCCCATATATGAGTGCTGGATTGTCCGTCAGTGGTAGTGCAATGAGTTGACATAATCAAAGATCCTCTTGTCCCCTTCATATAATTCACTTGCTGGTGTTCTGTTACACTTTTGTTGTGTACTGAAAATGATATATGCGTGCAGCTATGGCAACTGGAAACGCTTCTCCTCCAAAAGGACACGTATTTAAACTATAGCCAAGCACTAAGCTACACCAGCCAAGCTTTGAGCCAAAACTTGCAAGGACTAAGAAAGAAAGGCCCAATAAGGAGATTAAGCAAGCAGCTAATCTACTTTTTACAAGAGAATTGGAAAAGAATTTGGGTTTTGGCACTATGGGTCATGATAATGATTGGCTTATTCACATGGAAATTCTTTCAATACAAGCAAAAAGATGCTTTTCGGGTCATGGGTTATTGTCTTCTAACAGCTAAAGGTGCAGCAGAAACATTAAAGCTCAATATGGCTCTCATTCTCTTGCCCGTCTGCAGAAATACCATCACCTGGCTCAGGTCCACAAAGTTGGGTTACTTGGTTCCATTTGACGATAACATAAACTTTCACAAGGTACATACCATAGTTAATTACCTACTTCTTCTCTTGCTTTTATTGCTTATGTTGTACGTTTATCCTTGGGTCCCATATTGAAGACTTTATCAAAAAGTCAACAGGAAAGTTGATCTTTGCCATGAAATGAAACGATTAGGAATTTATTCGGTGTATTGAAGTATAGTCATGCGCATATAGAAGATATATCAGATGCTGTAACTGTACACGCAGCAAAAGTTGACAAAGGAATAGCCATACGCATATGTGTTTAGGCAGAGAATTAAAGACGACTTTGTCGGAATGCGGAAAGTGGGGTTAGGAAAAGTTGAATACTGGACCTCAAATTTTCTCCTCTTAATTTACCTTATAATAGAGTTGATGGTCAAACGTAAACACCAATACAATACAGAATTATTGTTTTTGTTAGAGAAATATTCATTTGTATTTTTAAAAATGGAATTTTATAAAGCAATTGGACCAAATAATTAATCAAGCCTATGCTACAATGTCATTTAGCTAGTAGTCTAAAGTGTACAACCCAATAGTTATGTGTTTTCCTAATAATAAGAAAAAGTTAGGAATTTGATACTTTCCAAGGGAGCTTAGATCTACTGCATATGATATCTTTAGTTTTTGCCCTTATGGTTGATGAAGAGAGGCTTTATAATTAAGAATTATAGTAGTTTTCCCCTCAAATTCAAGTTGGATAAGCTCACTGCAATTGCTTTTGGTATCATAAAGTTGCCGAAAATGATAATTGGACCTCAACTAGGTAGTGGTCCTTGGTTTTAATTTAAAAGCTTTCTTCGGCCAGCTAAAGTCCAAAATCCTACCATTTAAAGAGAAGGCATAATTTATAAGTGCGAAGGTTGATCAAAACGACAAAAAAAACTGGCTAGTTCATGTATCCTTTATTTTTGGTGAATAGTTAATGCATCCTCTTTTTCGTGACAGACGTCATCACATGCACTCTTGCATTGGTCTGGATTTTCATTCAGGTGATGGAAGTATCCATCTGATCATCAAAATGTTATTATGACTTATGACTTAATTTGTGTTTGGTTATATAGTGAGCAAGCATTTTTTTTTTCCTGGTGACATGCACTTTAGCAATCCTTAATGAAGAAAAAGACATTGCACATACATTATTCTTGGGAATTAATAGGAGAATTATATTTTAATAATTGTAATTGCAATAATCAACGATGGACTAGATTAATTTATCTGTTAATCTCCTTAATTGATTCTTGTATATATGCAGACTATTGCAGCTGCAATTGTAATTGGTGTCATTCTCCATGCTGGAAATCACCTTGCCTGTGATTTTCCAAGGCTTATAAACTCATCTGATAAAGACTATGATGATTACTTGAAAAATGATTTTGGAGGACATAAGCCCACATATGCTAAATTGGCAAGAGGGGCTGAGGGCGTGACGGGAATTCTAATGGTTATCTTCATGGCAATTGCATTTACTCTTGCGACTCGATGGTTCAGGCGAAGTCTTATTAAGTTTCCAAAACCTTTTGATAGACTCACTGGGTTCAATGCATTCTGGTATTCTCACCATTTATTTGTCTTTGTATACATCCTGCTCATCATTCATGGAGTATTCCTCTATTTGGTGCATAAATGGTACCTAAAGACGGTACAGTTCACAATCTTTTCTTTCACATCAAGGATTAATTTCTTTTACTGTCCTGTAGAATGTAAATTGAGGTTAAATTCATCTCTGCAGACATGGATGTATCTTGCTGTTCCAGTTTTACTTTATGCTGGAGAAAGAGCCCTGAGATTTTTTCGTTCTGGCTTTTATACTGTCCAGCTTCGGAAGGTATGATAACATACAAGAAGCCTACCGTAATATGTTTCTTGTCCTAACTCTGGCTGTTTTTAAGTTCAAAGGCGATTCCCAATCCAATCAGGAAACACATTTCCATCAATTTTAACTCCAAGCAAGCTGATTTTCACTCCTTTGATATTCGAAGTCCAAAGTTTATTTCTTTTTTTCTTCATTTATATTATGTTCAGGTTGCAATTTATCCTGGAAATGTCCTCACATTGCAAATGTCAAAGCCTTCCCAGTTCCGATATAAGAGTGGACAGTATATGTTTGTTCAATGCCCTGCTGTTTCTCCATTTGAGTGGTAAGTCGCTACTAGTATTTCTCATATCACTTTTAAACAAGATAGTTAAATATGACCACACTGCCAATTTCAGTGCCGAAAACTTGTCCATCATTTTTCTATGCCGATTGTTGTAGGTTCTTCAACTTTAATTTGATCAGCTTGTCTTAATGAGTTTGCGATGAATTGAACTTACTAAAGCAAAGTGGCCCCTTTGCTTAACCTTATTGGCTTTTTACATCCAGGCATCCATTTTCCATTACCTCCGCTCCTGGTGATGACTACCTTAGTGTTCACATCCGGCAACTAGGTGACTGGACACAAGAACTTAAAAGAGTATTTTCTGAGGCATGCGAACGTCCTGTGGCTGGGAAAAGTGGACTTCTCAGGGCTGACGAAACAACCAAAAAAAGGTACTTAATATGTCAATTTTATAGGTTGTTTTATTTTTTTAACGTTTGCCTTTTGCATTTTGTCCTAGTAGTATCGTTTATTTAACATTCTTATCTGATAACAGTTTGCCAAAGCTCTTGATAGATGGTCCTTACGGTGCCCCAGCACAAGATTATAGGAAATATGATGTCCTGTTACTTGTTGGTCTTGGGATTGGAGCAACCCCTTTCATCAGCATTCTAAAAGATTTACTTAATAACATTGTCAAAATGGAGGAGCAGGCAGTAAGTAATCCTTTCTGCTGCAAACTTTCACCGTTTAACCTGCGCCTTTTATACTCTAGATTTTCTATTAATTTGAATTTGAAAAATCATGTTTCTGGTATTTCAGGAATTGGGATTAGATATAAGTAGGACGTCAGACTTAAGTGTAGGAAGCAATGATGGTTCTAGTCACAATAACAGAACTTCTCCAAAACGTAAAAAGACTCTAAGGACTACCAATGCTTACTTCTATTGGGTAACCAGGGAGCAAGGTTCCTTTGATTGGTTCAAAGGGGTCATGAATGAAGTTGCGGAGCTTGATCAAAGGGTATAACAATTTAGCTTTTGAATCTTTCAATTTGTAGTTACTTTTCGTTTGAAAAAAAAAAAATCCTAGCTTTCCTATATTTAACTAATTGTTTTGAACTCCAGGGTGTAATTGAAATGCACAATTACTTAACCAGTGTGTATGAAGAAGGTGATGCCCGATCAACCCTCATTACTATGGTCCAAGCCCTAAACCATGCAAAGAACGGTGTAGATATTGTTTCTGGCACTAGAGTAAGATTTCTGATGGCATCATTACAATATCACACTCTTCCATCATGTTATAATCAATTTAATTATGCTGTTAAACTTAAAATTATCGAATTACCTTGTTAGGTCCGAACCCATTTTGCAAGGCCTAATTGGAAGAAGGTTCTCTCCAAATTATGCTCCAAGCATTGTAATGCAAGAATAGGCAAGTTTATCTCCAAACAGCTTTGAAGAACAGGACCGCTAATTTTGCTTTGTTCTAACTATAACATTTTGTTTTCCGGAGCAGGAGTTTTTTACTGTGGAGCACCTGTCTTGGCTAAAGAACTCAGCAAGCTCTGCTATGAGTTTAATCAAAAGGGTTCCACCAAGTTTGAGTTTCACAAAGAGCATTTCTAAAGAGACAATTGGGGGTGCGTATATAACTATCTTTCAATACACTTTCAGTCCTGAATTCTAACCCTGCACACTAAAGAATTCTACAATAATTTTACCCACGAAGCATTTGTACAGTATTGGGTATAAAAGGATAAAAAGGGAAGCGCCCCCTAAATAGAGGTAATAAACAAATCTATTCAGTAGCTTATATTAATAGAAGCAGAGAAGAAAACAAATCATTTTGGCTAATGAGATGGCTAAGCCTAAGGGTTGCAGCGATAAACCATTGCCAATTTAGTGCTAGAGGAAGAGCTAAAGCGATTTCTGGGGTGGAAGAGTGCGTTACAGCTGCAATGGAGAGATTGACATAATTGATAAGAATATGGCTATTATGCTTGATTGGTAGACATCATTATGAGTATAGCAGAGGACAGTTACTGAAAGAGACAGAATTAGAGGTAAGGTTGTGGAATATGGAGGTGGAGATTATCCTATGAAATTTTACTAGTAATTGTTTTAGGGGGTCGAAGAGAAAATTCTTTTGGAATGTCAATGCTTAAACCAGTCAATCCATGCAATGGTATTTAGTTACTTGATTAGAATAAGCAAATTTATGTAAATGGTATACTTTTGTTTTTTTTGTTTGGTTCTTTACATTATTGGTGAGGAATTATTTAAAATATTCTAGGGAGGAATATTATTAGGATACCACTGGAAAGTAAATGGGTCAATTCTGTTACCAAGTGATTTTGTATTTTGTTGAGAATTGTATACAGTAATAATACAGTTGACACGTGATATTTTCACATTTGCCATCTCTTCAACTTATTTTTCTGGGACTAGCAGCCAACAAATGGTAAGCTGCTGAAATATAGAGAAGAAATACAAATTATGTAAATTTGTTAAAATTTAAAATTTAAAATTTCAACGAAAGCAACGGTGAATGTAAATTTGAAAGAAATCAAATTATGAGGAAGGACCAAGTAATACTTAATTAAAACACTTCACTTTAGTATTCAAACAAAAGTTTTAATCAAATATATTTAAAATTGTTTCTTTTGGTATTTTTTTTATTCAAGAGATAGTGTATACACACACATAAACACGCAGATATGCAATCATGTATGCTTTTAATTATTTTAGCTTAGTTGTAGGTATGAAAGTATGATTCATTGGTTGAAATTTATGACCCTAAAAGTGTTCCTTTTGGCTTAATTAGTGATTATCCAGTGATGAAATTTATAAAGTAGCTAATAATATATGTGTGTGCAAAAGAAACAGATCAATGATTGGTCTCAAGAAGCTGAGTGCTGACCGCAACTCCATCTGCCTGCTTGTATTACATTCTACGATTTACTTGAAATATATATATATATATATAGTTGGTCTTCTGCGTTAACGTGAGAAATTGAAAATATCACTCTCCCAATTTGATGAAATAAGGAGAAAAATACTCCTATGATTGGCTATGTGTCACTCCTTTAGTTTCAAATAAATGGACCAACAAAAGGAAAAATATTAATTATTTACGTATCAAACATTATCTCAGCAGCCAAAATTGATAAACATCACTTCCACCCAAATCTAATACTATTAATAATAATTATTATTATTATTAAAATACATTAAAACAGAAAACATGAAAACGAAATAATTGATTATAAACTATAGGTTCAATTTCTGTTTTATTTTAACTTGAACAAATTGATTATAAACTTTTGAAATAAATGATTTTTTCTTTTTTGGCTTTCTGAATATTATTTAAGTATTATTAGGATTGAATTTGGAAATTGAGAGTGGAGACACATATGCTAAGGAAAAAAGAAAAAGAAAAAAGAAAACATAGAAAAGTTAATGGAAAACGAGACAACTAGCAGCTGACAGATAATTATACGATGAAGTAATACTTGTTGCTACAGTAGTAGGATAAAGCAGATTTGCTCGCATGTGTGCAGGCCCCAGAATGAAAACCCCACGTGTTTTCTTAATGTCAAAGCAAAAATAAATGGGGGGAAGGATGCCAGAACCTAACCATAAAACTTCCCCCATATGAAAAAATTGTAATATTTACGACCCATTGATATCATTTTAACTTCTACTGCAAGCTGCCAAAAATTTCTCTCTATATGTATTGGTGCTATATTTGTTTTTTTTTTTCGCTTCAATTAAAATTAAAATTTAGTAATTTATTTTATAATTTTATTAGCATAAATAAATTTAATATATAATTTATTAAATCAAATATGTCAGCGACCATTGAGCTAGTGTTATATAAACAAATCAATAAATACTTAGGCAAATAAAGATAATTAGGACATAATTCTTAAATTTTTAAAAATTATTATGTCGTAATCCAATTTATGTTTAAGAACAAAAGACAAAAGCATCTATTTAGATAATAAAAAATTAAAAATATTTTTCATTACAAAAAAAAAAAAAAAAGATCTAAATAAGCCAACAAAGCTATTTTAAATTGACTCAAATACCTGATGATTGACTACAATGTGCATGAATTCGATGTGCCTTATGATTACTTTTTGCTATTTGGCATTAGATTTAAGCTGTGTATTTTCATTTTGGTTGAAAAATGAAATGTGATTTGGATTTGCTTTGTGGCTGGACTTCTTTACATTATTGCGCTGAGGAATACTTTAAAATATTCTGTAGCGAGAACCGAACATATGTCCTATTAGCGACTTCTGCTTCATCAAGTAGGTTTTTTGTTGCGATTTAAGATGGATTGAAATCCGATCCTGGATGAAGTGAAACATAGTTATATATGTGTGAGCTTGAATGTGTGCCAAAACTTCTATTTATCTTTTATAAGCTAAGCCTTTATTACTCTCAGAAGCTAAGAAAATAGTTACACTTTTTGGACGCTCTAATAAGATTCTGTCTCTGTTTATTCATTTGTCTTGATAGAGTAGTTGTCATAACTGAGTGGTTTCATTGAGTTTGAACTGTGATGTAATCTGGTTAGCCTCCACTATTCGGAATAAATTGTCCAGTGTTGGCCTTAACAAACTACTATTTGAATGCATGTATCAATTCGACATTTGGTAGTTGACTGCGGTAAATTTCTGCATAGTTAGATTGCTATCCACTGTATTGCATTGCCACTACAACCACTTTTCTTTGTCAGAAGGCTACCGACCCTGCTAACTTTTTATCTTTAACGTCGATATTACACTGCATGTGCCCCCTGAACCAAGGTCGATCCTAAGACGAATTCATAATTGCGCATCTTCAGTTGTTTGCAATTTTCTAGGCTTTTGAACTTGTAATTATAAAATCTGTTACTGTATATGGGAGGAATTATAGAAATACAAATTGACTTATTTATAGGTTATACATTGATTTATGTTATCTAATACCATTAGTATAGAAATTTCTGATTACATTCTAATTATGATATACACACCATTATCATAGAAAGGTTCACATTCTCACAGATTAGCAAAAATTATGCTAAAATTTGCCCATGAAAGGGAAAATATGTTTCAGATGATATACAAGTTGAGGAAGGTTTCTTACCACGAGCCCGACCACAGTTATATACTTAATTAAAACACTTCACTTTATGTATTCCAAACAAAACGTTTTAATCAAACTACTATTTAAAATCCTCGTTTCTCGTTTGATAGTTTTTTATTCAAGATAGATAGTGAATATACGACACACATAAACACGCCCAGATATGCCCAATCATGTTGTATGCGCCCTCCCTAAAACCAATTAGTTTAATTATTTTTAGTAGCCTTGCTTTTAACTGTATATGAGTCTGATAAATGTTAAGTAATCTGCTTATCACACTGAATTTATGAAAGGTGATGATTTCAACCTTATTGCGTTGAACACTGAATTGTAGATAAAATCAGAAAACAAGCGTTTCACATATTTATATATTGACGACCCGAGGGACTATTAGGAAATATCGTGTTCTGACCTTATTTTGCTACTCAAATTGGGCTTAATTAGTGGATTATCATGGGCCCCAAATGTTTAAGCGATGACAAACCTGCTTGCAAATTATTAGTTTTTGCCATGCAGGCTGGTTATCTTTCCATGTTGCTGTTTGATCCCAATAAGGTGTTCATATACCATCTAGACTGATGCTAGACAGTTGGTTCTTTGGCCAAGAAAGGGATAGAAAAAAAACTCAGATGTTGATAACAGAGGATGCCAAACAAAATTGCTGAAACGGTAAATAAAGTGCAACTGCCAACACCTTTACTTTCTCGTTCCTCCATTCCAAGTTCCAATTTTTGTTCTGATCTATGAGAATGGATGTGACTTTCTTGGTTTCTTTCAGCATGAAAGGAGATTGCTAAGACTGATCTGACTACAACCATCAAGTGCTACACCAAATGTTCTTCGTTGAAGATGATCTTAAACTCTGCTTGGCGAAATATTCTAAAAAATGTATCTATTTACTCATCTAGGGTTTTACAACCAGAATCTGCTAATGATATCTTTCTTGTCTGTAAATCCAAGGGTGTATGATCAGAATCTGTGTAGAAAAATTTATTATTATAAGGATATAAAACTGCTAGCCCCTGAGATTTTTGACATCACCTATTATTAACTTTTACATCAGGTAAGTAAATTTTGGAACAGTTTAGTAATCTAACGTCTTGATTCAGGATGTTCGTGGTTTTAGTATCCTAGGTTATGTTTGGTAGTGTTTATTGTTCAAGCTACTAGTATAATGCGAAGTAATCGTACATTGCATGAAATGTTCATAACTATTTTAACGTGAAAGTACATTACATAATCGTATATTAAGCTGTGCAAATCATACAAAGTTAATGGATTGCTATATTTAAATTCCTTCTCACTCTAGTTTAAAATTGGTAGTGAATTGATTTGGCAATGAGGATATGCTGTGAGAGAGAGAGGGAGAGGCAGAGAATAAGGTGAGAGGGGAACTGTGCAAACTCACAATGGTGGATATATTATGTTACACTGTTGGATCTAGTGTGATGATACAAGAGAAAAATACTCCTATGAAGTCACTATTAATTCGAAATGAGTATATAAAAATTGAGAAGTATATCAAAATTCTGTGTTAGAGCACCACACCAAAAAGTGATAAACTTGCATAAATATATTATATTATTGATAATTTAGTTCCATCCAGCGACTTAAGTGTATGTCAGACAGCTCTTAAATATAGATTTTTACCAAAATCAATGGATATATCTTATCTTTCTAAACTGTTTGCCGAGTATCTCAGCCAGCACCAAAATTGAAGAAACTATAAATCTTTTGAGTCCAACTGCTTCCATGTCTCATTTATCTTTTTCAAGGCTCTAAGCTTTGCTTCCTAGAGAACTGAAAGAGCGATCTCATTTGTACCCGACGACTGTGAGCTATAAGAGTCCGCCCTCAAGCACTATAATGTCTAAGTTTTAGATTGAAATAGATGATATTTTAGAAAAATTCTAAATTTCTAGTGATTCAAACAATTTTGGGATAATATAATTTCAAATTTCATGTCCATAACAATATTCCAGCTAGATAGATTCTAGCAAGAATTAATAAATACATGTAAAACACGATTAATTATCATTATAAATCTCATTAAATAAAAAGATAACTGGTATGCAAGTTGTCTGCCATATGGTGTAGGTGGTAGGGGAGGAATGGCCTCCTAGAGATTACAGAAGGAGATTTGCCGTCTTTTATTACTTTCAGATTGGCATCTGGAGAGCCGTTTTCACTAGTAGCGCTATAGCTTTGATACTTGGATATTAAGACATTTTAGTTATACTGATAATTGGAAAATGAAGATTATAATTCCTCTTATACTAAAATATTGATGGAATAGCAGGAGAGCAATTGTTAAAGCAATTTGTGATTACTGATTATTAGGGCTGGTTTGTGAACTAGCAAGTATGCAACAAAACTTATTATGCATTTAATATGACTCTTATGTTTAGAAAGCTCACAAATATATTTCTTGTTGGGGAGTCATGCTACTAGCAAGAGTCTTTATAGTTAAACATTTCACATATTTATGGATTGAGGACAAATTTTGCTTATTGGTCCGATATAGAGAACTGGATTTAAGGGATGAGGTGGAGTGTGTAGAAGCTGGCTGTCAGCTATTTTCATTTAGCACCTATGCCTGCCGGCATATAAAGAAGGTATCAAAAGAATCTAAAACACGAACAACAAACACTCCATGTCAAATTAATCAGCTTTTCAAATAGAGTGTGTCTATCAGAAGCACTCAAAGCAGAGCGTATCATTACAAGGTATTCAGGTTTTGCATTTACTGACAAACTAGCCAGCTGGACAGAGGAATATATACGCATGAAGTAATACTGTGTTGCTACAGTAGTGGCATAGAAGCAGCGATTTGCTCGCATGTGTGCAGCGCCCGCAGAAATGCAAAAACCCCACGTGTTTTCTTAATGTTCAAAGCTCAAAAATAAAATGGGCGCGGAAGCTCGATGCCAGAACCCTAACCATAAAACTTCTCCCATATGGCAAAAAATTGCTTAATATTTACGACACCCATTGATATCATTTTAACTATCTTACTGTCCCAAGCTTGCCAAAAAAATTTCTCTCTACTATGTATGTGCTTATATTTGTTTTTTTTTTCGCTCAATTGAAAATTAAAATTATAATTTATTTTAATAATTTTATTAGCATAAATAAATTTAATATATAAATTTATTCAAATCAAATTATGTCAGCGACCTATTGAAGCTAGTGCTTATTAATAAACAAATCAAAATAAATACTTAGGCAAATAAAGATTAATTTAGCCCGACATAATTCTTAAATTTTATTAAATAAAAATTATTATGTCGTCTAATCCAATTTATGTTTTAAGAAGCAAAAAGAACAAAAGCATTCTCATTTAGATATATAAAAAATTAAAAATATTTTTCATTACAAAAAAAAAAGAAAAAACATACTTAAGCCTTTAAATCTTCAAGTAATAAAAAGTAAAACACCTAATACATTTCTTCACAAAAAAAAAAAAAAAACATACTTAAGCTTTAAATCTTAAGAATAAAATAAAACACAATAATTTCTTCAAAAAAAAAAAGTAATCATTTATTCACCTAATAATCTTTATTTATAATTAAAAAGTGAAAATATAAAAAGAAAAAAAATTTGACCGCAACCGAACCGAGTCCCTAATAAGGCCGGCGCCCAAGTGATGGGACAGAACTGGTCCACTAAAGTCGAGAAAAGTTCAACGCGTCGTCTCGCTGGACGCTTCCTTCTTCCTATAGGCTTTAGGATTGCATTACTTAGCGACGCACCAAAAACTACCCAATAAATATCCCTTCGCCTCACTTCCTTTCTTCCCACCAAAAACCCCATAGCAACCCAAAACCCTCTCTGCAATCTCCAAAAAAAGAAAGTTATGGCGCAAGAAAATCAGATCTTTCCATTAGTGCCGGCGAAGTTTAATCCAAGAAGCGATGAAGAAGTTGCAGTAATCAAGCCCAAAACATTCCGCAAAGAGAAAAGCAGCAAGTGTTTGGTATATTTTCTTGCATTAATCGTTATCGCAAGCACAATAGCTTTGATCTTTTCCGTAATAGTTATCCGTACAAGATCTCCAGATGCGGAATTGACCTTCGTTTCTATCAGAAATCTCAAGTATAGTAACAACGCAACTTCTCCTTTCTTTAGTTTCACTCTCCAAGCTGAGTTAAGTATCAAGAATCCGAATTTCGGCCCGTTCAAATTTGAAAACTCTACTTGTAGTGTTTTATATAAAGACAGGACTGTCGGCGAATCAAGATTAGGTCAAGGCCGTGTGGCAGCAAGAGAAACGGAGACGATAAAGGTTGTTTTGGACGTGAAATCGTATAGATTACATGATAATCAGAGCTTTGATAGTGATATAAAATCTGGGATTTTGAAGCTGAGCAGCCGAGCTAGGTTTAACGGAAGAATTCACTTGTTGAAGACTATAAAGAAGAAAAGAATGGCTTTCTTGAATTGCACGATGAATGTTAATTTGACAAGCCAAGCTATTCAAGATTTAGTATGCGACTGAAGTACAGTTTTTTCTTTTCTTTTCTTTTTTCTTTATTTTTTTTTAAAGATTTGATGTTTAAGTATGAGTAAATATCAGTATCATACAGTTAACTTCTTTAAAATGAGATGAATTGATCTTCTTGGTTTTTCTTTTTTGAGAAATTAATATTCTTGTTTTTGCATTGAAGACTTTCGTATTGTTACTATTCTAGTTTGCAAAAACACAATTTGATTTTTTTTTTCTTATATTGTAACTTTTCTTTTGCATATAGTAAATTTTACATGTCAATTTGTTCCTTTTTCATTAAGTAAGGATTAAGATCAATTAACGCTTGATTTTGTTTTGGTTGAAAGAAGATATATTTTCCAATTCTTCTATAGGCAAATTTCGAGTTGTAGACGAAATTAGTTGATTTTTTTTTTTTTTTTTAAGCATCGAAATTAACGCCATTGGAATTGTTGTTTTGGCTTGATAAGAAGATATATTTTCCCAATTCTTCTTAGCCCAACTTCTCGAGTTGCTAGAACGCAAATTTAGTTGCATTTTTTTTTTTTGGATAGATTGAATTTTATATTTTTGAAGTCTACAATGGGACGTACATTTTTTTTTTTTTTTTGGATAGGATTGAATTTATATTTTTGAAGGTACAATGGACGTACAGAATTCTAATTATCTAAGGCAGTGTTTGATAATTGGTTCATAAGGAATTTTTTATATTTAATTAATATTATATGTACATACATAGATTTAAATATTGACACTAAAGTGTATTTATCTCGCGTTGATATAAGAATAGTCTCTGTGAGATCTCAAAATTCTATTTAACCATTGAAAGATATAAACTTATTATTTCCAAATCCAAAAAATTTTCTAACTTTGAAATATATCCAATTTATTTCAGAAAATAAAAATAGAAAGCGACTAAATAATCAACAACTGAAATTAAAATTTACCTACTATACAATCTATTGATTTCTTGCAAATGTATTTATTATGCTTTCTTTATCCCCATAACTTTGACACTAACAGCTTAACTAACCGATGTAGAGGGGGAAATTGAATCTCCATTGTTATGCATTATATTGCAACTTTGCATTTAATATTGGAAGTTACGTATACATAGACCCACTCTTCAATTGACATCTAAGTCTTTTTATGTTTTCTTTCTTTCTTTCTTTATGAACCAAAAGCAAATACTCTAAATTGACATTTAAAACTTAATTATCTTGCAACTTGCAACCATATATTTACTCACATCGTTTTGCAACTTGCAACAATATTAGCTGCATTATAGGCAACAGTGTCTGCATAAAATTTGAAGCAGGTGTTGTGGACAAGGTTTTTTCTAGGTGTACAAAGATAAATTTATATGTATTACTACTTGGATAGACATTACAAATAATGTAATAATTAACAAGATAAACCTACGGAAATTAAATATTTGCAACAACGGAACTGTCCATATTGATACCAACGTGAAGCTTGCAGTTGAAATTTCTGTAAAAAAAAAACCCTAACATTGCCTCTTTCAAGTTCGACAGTGGCTCAACCACTCTTCTTTATGGTTGCGAGGCGGTCGGCCAGTTGATAACACCGTCGGGCGAGGTGAAACCGAGGAGGATGATTTACATGAACGTTGCGTTGGATTTGAGTCCTGTGAAAATTTTGGGTGTTGAAAGAATTGGCAGAGATATAAGCTCAGGAGGGTTGACTATGGATAGCTATACGGTAATTGGTGGGGAAGGTGAACAAAAATGGGCCCATTTATGTGATATATGAATATCATGGTCCATAATTTAAAGCCCATTGATCAAAATTTTGATGGCCAGATAGCCCACTTCGCTAGAAATGAGTTGCTCATCCCTTAACTATCTTGTCTCAAATTGAACCAAATGGTTCTATTTGATTCAATTCTCAAACTATTTGAAATGAGTATATATCCCTCAAAGTTAAATTATTTCAATTCAGTGTCCAATTAATAAAAATTAAGATGAATCCACAATATGCAATGTTAATCTTTTCTCAACAACTATTTACTGTTACAACAATTTTATCATTCAATTTGCTAATAATCCAGATCTAAGCAAGTTTTATACTTAAAAACATAAATCATTTTATACCTAAAAAATAATAAATAAAAAAACTATTTTAACTTTTAAGCCACATTTTGATTTTTGGAAGTTCAATGACATATAATATTGACTACCAACAATTCTTTTCTCGTTGACTGTGGTTGGTATAAATCAACTCATGTAATATTGAACAATTTAAGCCAAACATACTTCACATTCAATACTTAGACATTGAGTAATTATTACTCATTATATTTCTGTTCACATAATGCCAAATTAATTGTCTATTAACTTGTAATAATAATACAATTAAAAATTAATTAATTATCTCCTCCATTATTTTAATTGCAAAGTTTTCTTATTGGATTAATATTCTCTAACATAACCCTTTTTGGACGGAAATAATAAAATTATCAATTCATTATTTTTCTCTGTCAAAGAATCCAATAGGTGAAATTTCCTCCAGTAGACTACATAGTCAATCGTCAAGCCGTGAATTAGGTGCAAACGCGTTTTAAATTATGAACATAATGTTTCATCCAACGCTTGCTATATATATTTACATGTCGAACACTATGGACAAAAGATAGCCGTTTATATTACTTCACAAACAAAAATTGAATCATTCATTCCAAATCCATGGCCGAGACCGAGCAGGCCAAACCTTTAGCTCCAACTTTATTCCAATCTCGTAGCGACGAAGAAGAAGCAATATCTACCCATTTAGAGCTTCACCAGAATCGAAAATTCCTCAAATGTTGCGGTTGTTTCACTGCTTTATGGTTAATTCTTGCCGTAACCATTTTAGTTATGTTCTTCACTGTTTTTCATGTCCAAGAACCAGTAATCAAGATTAACAACATAAACCTACTGCAATTAAATCTTTATAACAACGGAACTCTCCGCACCGATACCAACGTGAAGATTGCAGTTGAAGTTTCTGTAAAAAATCCTAACGTTGCCTCCTTCAAGTTCGACAATGGCACAACAACTGTTCTTTACGGTGGAGTGAGAGTCGGCGAGGCGATAACTCGGTCGGGCAAAGCAAAAGCAAGGCGGACGATTTATATGAATGTTACGGTTGATTTGAGTCCTGAAAAGATTCTGGGTGTTGAGAGCTTTGGCAGAGATGTAAGTTCAGGAGCTTTGGCCATGAATAGCAGTACAGTAATTGGTGGGAAAGTGAAGATAGCTAAGATTATCAAGAAATATATTATAGTGGAAGTGAATTGCAGTGTTACTTTCAATTTGACAAGCCAGCAAAACATTCAATCGCATTGCAGACCACATTTCATTTGAAAGCATCAAATAATGCTGATTTTTTGCTATTAATACTTGATTTTAACAGTAAATTGTTACCATATTTACATTTTTGTTTTTGTTTATATAGATATACATGAGTTTCCAATTAATAGCATTATCGTTATGTTAAGGGTTCTTGGTATACATATATATATAGAGAGAGACAGTTCTTGCATAGATAATACAGAAGCTTTTCTTGAATATTACTCTTCTGTTCTGATTTTGATCCAAATTTTATTAGACTCAAACTCGTTTTGAACTGTACTTCTTTCCAGCTTTTACAAGCCAAGTTCAAAGCCTACCGGGTTAGCTAATAAGCCAATCTGGCTAGCAAGCTTTAGAGCTCACACTAAAAAGAAAAATTCAAAAAAATATGGTTCAAATCAAACTCGATCCTATTGATGTTCAGTTTAAAAACTCCTAGAACTTTTACATATACATGCATATAATATAATATTATTCTAAGTTACTCAAACTTCGGGCCGATCTCGAACTTAAAATTTCGAGTTGAACTTGAACCCAAGCCTAAAATTTTTAAGCTCACTGAATTCTATTGAACTGAGCTCTGGCAAATTCAAATTCGACTAGGCTCGTTAGCACCCTACGCTTATTTACATTGGTATATAATTGTTAAATTCTATTTGGAGACTTAAAAAGAGAAAAGTCACCGAACATCATTATCGTTTAAACTTCCTAAGCACTAAACTGAAATTTCATGATTGGAGACTAAGCATTAATGGAATTGACCCCTCAAATTTCTTGGTAGGACCCTTAACCTTTTGGTATTTATTGGAAATTTCTAAGAAAGAAAACATGTGAGTCACAAATTTAAACCCTTTAATCTTTGCATTATTATAAAAATAAATATCAAGAATTTAGAACTAGTGATAAAGATTGATTAGCAATTGCCAAATTTTAAAAGTTTCTTACTTGGAGAGAAAAGCAAGAAGCAAGTCATTGAAGGAATAGAACAATTGACTGATGGAAGCAAACAAAATTGAACTATTTTGGGGATTTATATTAGGTTCTAAAAGATTGGTCCTAATTAATTTATTAGACTACTTTGTTCATAGGATCCAATTAAAAGAAACAAAAGAAGGATTATTGAATTATTATTAATGGAGGGAATATTGGACCATTTCCACTTAGGAGAGCCTAAAAGAAATGCTATGGTCAAGCTTTTGTCATGAGGACTTGGTCTCATCCCAAGCCACATTAACGATAAAGAGAGACTTGATTACCATTTCTAATCTTTCGTTAATTTTAATGTGATTACCTAAATTCCAATTATGATAAAGTCTGTATTTTATTTTATTTTTATTTTTATTTTTACACCCATCGATGATGTTTAAGTAAAATCTTTTTGATACTGTGAATTTAGATTTCGAACTCCTCACTTTATAGAGATAAACATTGCAAGAATTGTATTTGATGAGAAAATACTGTGCAAAGTTTTATTAAAGGCTTTATAAATTTGAGACCAAAGAAATGGATTTTTGACAGCCAACCATTTCACTTGACTTGAGCCCATTTTGGGCCCAATAAAAAAGATAAGGAGTAATGGAAAGTAAACTTCAAAAAGGTATTGCACCATTGAGAAGCATTTGATGGTAATTAGGCATCTAGATTTAATGGTATTCCTATTCCCCCACCCTAATTTCAAAATGGTAGTACTAGTATTCGTTTAATGGTACTAGATTAATGCACGTATCTAGATTAAACCCCACCCTAACTTCAAAAAACTATTCATTACATCACCTCATAGGATGCTAAAATTCATAAAAATCAAAGTTTTGTCGGTGATTCATAGAATTAGACTAGTGGGTAATTAAGCTATCTTTTCTTCCTTTCTTAAACTTTGTTGTCCCCTTTTAGGTTTCTTATACTAGTACTCCCTCTAGTCTTTACATTGGTAGCCGTAGGTGGAAGAAGAAAAGAAAGTTTTTAGATTTTAAGTTTTGAAAGAAAGAGAGATTTCAAGATCAAACTGAAAATCACATCAAACTGATTTAGTTCAGTTTTGATTTTAATTTGTAATTTTATAATATTAGCTTTGGTTTTTGGTTCATTTATATAAAATAAGTAATTTTTACCTAAAATTAAACCATTTTGATCTGAATTGATTTGTTGGATTCGATTTCTAAGTTTATTTTGATGTAATATAATTTTAACTAATTTAGTTTTTAATTTATAGAGGGTTGGAACTGAACCGCCCAATTGCACACTCCAAAATTCAACATTAGGTTAATAAAAATATTGCTTGTGCATTTTTAAAATGGTTAATCAATTAAAAGTTTATCCTTCCAATAATTTCAGAATGAATTCTTCCATCTAAAAGGGGGGAAAAAAGTATATTGGAAGTGGGACCACTTTTATAAGAGTTGGAGCTTTGTAGAATCTGAACTGTGAAATAGAAGATAGAGATATAACATATCAACCATGGAAAGAGAGCCAAAGCCAGTCAATCCCTTGCTATGGGATTTTAAGAAGGGGGAATTGAGACTTTTGGGGATTTATAAAAGTGGCTGATGATGCATGAATTTAATCCCATTATAGAAAATTTTAATTGTATTGTGCATGAACTGCCCCCAATTTAATAACTTCTGTCTAAGGAAAATATATAATTTGGACATGTTGGCTTTTGATGGGGGATTTTGTCCTCAAAGCTCATAGCTTGCTATTGGCTATGGTAGGTAGACTTCATATGATTTCTAAATCTCAATCACCCTTTTATGACCTTTTCATCACATTGTGCAATTGCAATGATTATCATAATGCTTTTATGTGATTGTAAGTGATCCCAACATTTTATCCATGAGAAAATTATGAAACCCATTACTCACAAACACTTCAATTTTATTTTGGAAGTGATAAATTTTGTACCTTGTAGTAAATTCAATGAAATATAATTTTATTAGTGTCTAGATTACTCAAATTTTTTTATAATTAGGTTAGGTTAATTATTATCTTATTGTTCACTAATTTATTCAATTGTCGATTGTGATTAGAAAGCTTAAAATATTATGAAGTTTTTTTAATTTTTCAATCTCAGTATTAATTATGTTTTATAAATAATTATGGTTCGACGCTCTTCCTTCAATTATCATGGATGGAATAAATTTTCACTGGAAGCACTTTGCCTTTTAATGGATTGATTCAGTGTTAACAAAATTTAAAAAAAAAAAGAAAAAAAAGGGGTATATACATAGTATCGTGTGGTCAAATGGCATACATACGGTGCATTGCATGTAGAGCACATGGAGCACAATTCGGTAGTTTAAACTTGAAAAGGAGAAGGATGAGGGAATTTGGAAGATGCCCCAAAAGACAAAAACACATGCAAAGGCTCCACGAGCTAACAAGTAATGTATTTATTTAATGCAAACATAACTAGATAAGAGTCAAACTCTCAAGAACTTGGGAAACAAGTGGAAAGATTCAGACAATAGCAAACACGCAAATTATATAATTTATTTATAAATAAACAATAGTTAGGAGTATGTGCTTGTGGAGGTTCATCTAAGCAATGAGCAGTCAATGGTCAATGTCCCAATTGCTCATTAGTGTAGATGTCAACTGAATTTGAATTGGGATTGGAATATCAATTTCAATTCCATGAAATTGAATTGGGATTTTTAAAGAAAATTTTCAGATTCTTTACCTGACTGTTAATGGCATATAGAGAAAGGAGTAGAGTAGTTAAAGAAAAAGAAGAAGGGAGCAACATTGTAAGCAAATGTTTCGGCCTGAAATTAAGCAGAGACAGAGATAAGAAGAGGCCTAAAAAGCAAAGAGAAGACGTATTTAAAGAATCTAAGCACTGGGTAAAAGCCCAAAACGACAAAAGTTTTTGCCTAAACAAAGCTTAGTGGTAGCTAAGCAGAGCATGCAGCGGGTTTGTAGGACCAGAGCACGACATTAGCAGACAGATTGAATCCCAGATGTTATTTTCACTAAGAACATAAATTTGGGGTCGCATCAACACCAGCGATCTTCTCTAATTCCAAGATTTTATGATTAGACCACAGTATAATATATATATGTATACAGAGAGAGAAGAAGAAAAAGAATAAAGAAGAAAGAGAGAGAGCTCTTGTGTGCAAAACTAGGGAAGGGAAAGAAAGAGTTTTGACAAAGATGCCACTTCTCTCTCACCTTCTCATCTTTTACCCATTTTCTTTTTTTGTCTGTTCTCGCTCTCTCTTTCTTCTTTCTTTCCTGCTTTGAGGAAAAAGAAAAAGAAAAGAAAATCTTTTTTTCACTGTTTGGGTAATTGGGTTCTTCCCTTTTCCTCCCTTCTCTGACCATCAAAGAAACCCATTCACTCTGCCACTCTCAACACCCACCCACTAATTACAAATCAATTTCAAATCAAATGCCAGAGAAAAGAACATTTCTATCGAAAACTTGTAAAAAAGGAAAAATGTGAGATATTATATATTTGCTTCCCATTTTATGTACAAAAAAATTATTGGTTTCTTTTCCTTCAAATTTCTGTGCAGTATAAAACAAAGAAAAATAATTGATGTGTCACGACGAGTCGTCAGTCATCACCACCTGGGGTAGGCAAAATTATATATATAATGATCTGGTGATTCTAATTCTGGTTTCGCTTTCACAGAAAGATTCAAGCTTTACAGACAATAGTAAAACCAAGTAAGCAAGCTTCGTGTCTGCTCTGCTCACTTGTCATAGTCACCAATAAGACCAAACGTCTCTCTACTTTAAAATTTCCTTACCTTACCCTAAACCAAAAATAATAATAATTATTATTATAAACTAATTTTCATTTACACAGCAGAATGATAATGAAGATGGAGATTTCATTTTTCTAAAAATTCTGGAAATGGGATTTCCTTTGTCTGATGATTTCCTTGACAATTTAAAGGTTTCTCGTAGGAGGGATCGCTCACTGACCTTGATAACAGAGAAGAATCCGAATCTGCCATGGAAAGTGACATACGGATAGTCGTTTAAAATATTGAAAGAATTTGGTTAAACAAGTAATTAATTAGACTAATCAGCTAAAATTAGTAAATTACCTCGAGAGGCATTGAATGATCTTTTGCAGTGCAGAATGGCGCTCTGGATCCCGTCCTGCTGCTGCAACAGCGAATCATCTCTCCTCTTTGATATCACCGGAGCCGATGGAGCCGCTGCCACAGCAGAGGATGCTGACCGGCTTTTCCCTAAATGTTTGCAGACAACTCTCAGCCCCGCCGGCAAGTTCCCTTGTTTTAGGCTCTTCACATTGCTGGCTGAAGGCGCTTCTGTACTTTCCGTCTCAGGTTGGCTCTTGTCAGCCGTTGTCGTCGGTGAAGATTTCTGCGCTGTAGTCGCGGTGGAAGGCGGCGGCGGCGGCGGGGAAGGAGCAGATGCTTTCAGGGCAGAGCCTAAGCTCAGCTGGCCAGAGAACCTCAGTTTCTCTCCATACCGCTTCGAAACGCGAATGTAAAGAGGCTTCACCTTCTTCAGATATTTCTGCATTACGTCTTTAGAGAAACGCTTCTCATCTGAAGTAGCGGCAGCGGCAGCTGAAGCATTTTCCTCTGTATTATTCTGCTTCTGCGACGACTTGGCGTTTTTACTACTTTCTCTAGTAAACAGAGAAACAATAGGAACCTCCTCGACCTTAAACTTGACAGTGAAAAACTTGCTCTGTTTGGTTCCTTCCTCTCCTTTCTCTTCTTGCTTGTGCTGTTGCTGTTTAGATGTAGGAGAAGCCACAGACTGAGTACTAGTCTCTCCATTTTTCTCGTTAGACTTTTCCGTTGAATTCATTTTTGATTTTTTGAATCCCAACATGAACACTCGAAACTTCGTAGCAGATTTCAGTAAAGAAACAGGAAACTGAGGCTTGGAATTAGGCTCAGAGCCATTAAGAACAAGAGAAGACGGCTCTATCGGTACAAGTCTTCCTTTGAAAAACAAATCATCAGAAGGTGAAAGCGGCAGATTTTGATCCACACGGTCATTACTAGAGCCAGAGGAGAGAGTGAAATTAAATTCCCTCTCTCCGTCCGTACCTTCACCGTCATCCTCTTCGTCTTCGTTTTCAGATTCAATGTCCTCGTTTTCGTCTGCGTCCTTTTCTTTCTTATCGTCGTCCTCCTCGTCTGGCACAGCAAACTCCAAGTCAAAAAAGGGACCGTCATCGTCATCTTCATCATCGTCGGTTTCGATTGTATTCTGAGCCACAGCAGTGACAATAGTGGTGGCGTGTGAGTTAAGAGTGGAATCTCCACCTCCAACGACGACGCCACCGCCGCCCCTCCAGTATTTAAGCAAACTAAAAGCTTCCATAGTTGGGAGAGCCAGAGAAACGGTGGGTAAGTGAATGGGTTGATCCAGAAATGGAAGAGAAAGAAAAAAGGCGCAGGTAAGGGAAGTAGGGAAGTAAGGAGGGTTTCTTTTCGAGTTGCAGAAAATGGTAGTACTGATACTGGAAATGGGGTGGCAGAGCAAGCACAGAGAGGTAAGCTTTTCTCTTTTTTTCAATTTTTTCCCCCTGTAGAAAAGAGAGAGAGAGAGAGAGAGAGAGAGAGAGATGGGTTTTAGTTTGTCTTGACTTGAAGAGGGTTTGCTTGTTGTAGCAGGTCAGTCATGTGAGACCAGTCTGCGAGTCAGAATTGTACATACGATACCTCTAGTAAATACTGTTTTTACAGCATGGTTAATTCCACTTTTACTCTTTCATTAATAATTAATTACTACATCCAAAATCCTCATCTTTTCTGTTCTCTAGTAGCATAATGCTTCCTTTATTTATTTATTTTTATTAATTACAAAGCGAAAGAGATAAAACAATTATAAAATATAAAATAAAGACGGTCTGTCTCTTAATCTTATTAAATTAATTTAAATTTCAATAATATTCAAATTTAAAATTTTTCACTTTACATATTTTTTTTTAACAAAGTAAAAGATAAATCAAAATCGGAAATTATCTTATTATTAGGATAAGATTATTCTGATTTCAAATGCAAATTCAACATTTAAATAAGGGTAGTTTAAGGGCTCATTTCCAACTAATAGTGATACCTCCATAATTGGGTTTTGGATTTCATCATTAATGGAAAGCTGTATACACTTGTTTGTGGGACTATGTCTTTAGATTCATCTAGCTTTCACTTAATAATTAATAATTATGTTATTGGACAAAAATGCTAACCCTCAAGCTAGCTTTTCACTAGACAAAGTCTTTTATTAATGTTTAAGTTAAGTTTAAGTTCAACCGTGTAGTAGTATTTTTAAAAAAAATTATTATTATTATTATTAAAGATTGTAGGTTTTAATCAAGATTTCAGTATCAAAACAAGAAATTTTGCTAGTGGGGACAAAAATTTAAAATAACTTTCTCTGTTAGTATGGATTAATAGATAGGAAATCGAAACTCTATTAATCTCATATTTTAAGATTTTTTATATGCCAAAAATAGCTTTAATCTATTAATTATAAAAATGTTGGACCAATGAGATCACTTAGTCCAATTTTCCTGAACATAATTTACTGAGGAAAAAAACATTTTAAACTTAGTCCAATGAATTATGGACACGTGTGATATAAACCAAAAAATAAGAATAGGTTGGTATATATTTAATTTGCTATAATTTTCTTGAATTTGATATTTGATAATAACCGTTTGATGTATGGACAAACTCTCCACTTGATTGATGTCATATTATTATTTGTTATTACTTAAGTTGTTGTGTATATATATTTATATCTGAACAATTATTTTATGGACCCTAGATAACAAAATGACTGATAACTTCCGTTCCTAAATCTCTTAGTGGGCCTATGGAACCAGTAAACCTGGGCCATACTGGGTTCCCATGAATCATATAAAACGGTTCCATGTAATTCTCAATCCTTTTAATTATACTGTGCTGTTTTTCCTTTATTTTTATTTTAATTATGCTTTTAAAATTAAATAAAAAAAGATTTAAAATTTGTTAAGATAATCTTCAACGAGAAAGATTAGTTTTATTATTTAAATAATTAAAAAAAAAAAAAACTAAAGACGGACCAGTTCCAATATACAGTTGTAATTTAATGGAGATAGAAAGATCTCTGGAAAATGTAATTTTGGAATTATAAAAAGATAAGAAAAGTGGGAATGAGTCAGCAACTTTTACGAAGGAAAGAAAAGAAAGCATACTGTTTTCATTTTTTCAACAAACAAAGCAGGTCAAAGACCTAAACTAGGCTAGCTTACCACTTACCAGAACTCATATAAGCTTTTTAACTTAAATCCATTATTCTATTACTATAAATTTTAATTTTGAAATATTATATTCCCTTTTCACTAATTTTTGTTTTTCAAAAATTATAATTAAAAATCATGCAAAGATTGCTGCAAAGGACAAGAATTTTTAATATTAATATTTATATCTTAAAATGAAATATAATAATTGAATTTAATATAATAAGTGAAAGATCATAAATTTTGTAGACTAGGCAGGTCAGTGAAGTACAATTACAATATGGGATTGGACAAGAATGTTTCTTTTTTCAAAAAAAATCTCCCGTGAAAATCATAATGGTAATCACAATTTCGGCATTTTTTGCCCCCTAACTCTTCTTTTTGAGGAGAAAGGGTGGCCCATAGTTGTCCACTAATGGCTACCCTCTCTCCAACTTTCCCCTTTCAGATTGGACACCCAATCATAATTATTTTGGCTTTTGCTATCTAAATCATATACGAAATTTCCTTTTTTCTTTTTTTTTTTTTTTTTTTTTTTTTTTTTTTTTTTTTTTACTGTACTTATTTGGTCATAATATGCTATGAATATTTCATTTATTTGTTCCCTCTCAGGCTACTAGAAGGGGATATTAAACATTTATGTTCTACAAAAGTTTTTTTTTTTTTTATTTTTTTTTAAATGTTCTTCACATCATAAGAGTAATTTGCATAATGCTTGAGTAGAAGTGTGGTTGTTTCAAAAAAAAACTTATATTATTCTCACTAGGAATTTCTACCATTTTAAAAAAGATCACAACTCCTGAAAATACTTACCCTTGACTTAGAAAGAATATAAAATCTAAGTTGTGTTTCTCTAAGCTATAACAATCATTCTGTCTCGGACAAATTTAAACCCATTGTTGCTACTGGCTCCATTGAGTGGACTCTTTAGATATTTCTGCAGTCTTCAAGCCATCAAAGTACACAATTTCTTAGTAATTATCTTTCTAGTGTTAGGGCGATTTCCTTCGCAAGCAACTTCGTTGTCCTTTATTCCATCTACGGAAGCTTAAGTTCTTTTTTTTTTTTTTTTTTTTTTTTTTGTACTTATTTGGTCATAATATGCATGATTTCATTATTGTTCCCTCTAGCTACTAGAAGGGAATATAAAATTTATGTTCATACAAAAGTTTTTTTTTTTTTTTTTTTAAATGTTCTTCACATCATAAGAGTAATTTGCATAATGCTTGAGTAGAAGTGTGGTTGTTCAAAAAAATATATTATTCACTAGGAATTCTACCATTAAAAAAGATCACAACTTCTGAAAATACTACCCTTGACTTAGAAAGGAATATAAAATCTAAGTTGGTTTCTCTAGCTATAACACATTTGTCTCGACAAATTTAAACCATTGGGCTACTGGCTCATTGAGTGGACTCTTTAGATATTCTGCATCTTCAAGCATCAAAGTACAATTTCTAGTAATTATCTTTCTAGTGTAGGGCGATTCCTTCTGCAAGCAAACTTGTTGTCCTTTATCATCTACGGAAGCGAAGTGAAACTTGGTCTTGGAAAGCTTTTTCCAAGAACTTTGCTCGCTTGAGCAATCTTCAGAAAGCATTGGTTCCCATCCATTACTAACAACTTTAATGCATAGTCTTTTGCCCTTCAACCTGATCGGATCCCCATCTCTGGTATGAACCCAATGGCTTGGTGCCTTGCAATCGCCTGCAGATATTCCCTCTGTACCGTCTGCACTGATGCAGGTTCCGCTCTGTGGATGAAACATTATATGGGATACCTGAGATTTTAAACTTGGGTCTGCATCAAAAAAATGTCCTGTGTCAGATACTAATTAAGTTTAATGTTAAAGTACTAAATTATAGTTATGGCAAGACAGACATGTACCTTGAAGCTTCAACTTAATAAGTTCCATCCTTCTCTGATATTCTGGGTTTCTAACACGGTCCCAATTGTAATCCATAACACCATAAGTCTCCTCCATACCAATTTGATTTTCTCTATAATGATAGAGCTACCTTGCCATGCCCATAACACCCATTCCAAGTCAAATTCAGCTGCATAGGCCAAAAAGCAAGCCAAGAAACGTTCATCACCTCTGCTGAAAGCTCTTTGGTCTAGACCAAACTCACCCATAAACATAGGGAATGGCTTCTCAGCATTCATAACAAATCCAGTTTGGTTAAAAACACGTTGGGTTTCGTTATAGCAGACCCCATTCACATCTTCCATACTCCAATATCCACCATGACCCCAACTAAATGGATACCAATGTGCCTCGTACACCAATTTGTTATTAAAGCTAGTCTCTAAAGGCTTTTTCTTCAAGAAAGTTAGGTCACTAGCATAACCAAGTCCTGAAGCAAATATTAGTACATGAGGATTTGCCTTGTGAATGGTTTCTATTCCTTGTTCCATGTACTTGTACCAGTCTTCCTCATTTGAACGAGGTCCACGTATCTCGTTTCTTGTGCTTATTCCTATCACCTGTAATGAAAAATTCAAATCAATGCAAAGATTAATAAATTGTTAAGATTTCAGATGCATGGATGAATAAAGAAATAAGATAATGTGACTTACGTTATGTCTGCCCCTAAATCGCTTAGCAATCATAGTTAAACCTCGTAACCATTCTTCAACATCAAAATCTTTATCGCCAAAGAAACCATTACCGTCGTCATAACCACAGCACCAAGTTGGTCTACTCACCTGATTATCAAAAACGACCATAACACCTTGTTTACCAAACTCATCAACGACAGCTTCAAAGGCATCGACAAGAGTCAAGCGCAATAGAAAATTGTTATTTTTAGCAATTCCTGCTATGGACTTTGTCAGGTTGAAAGATTTAAGGGAGTTTAAAACAGTGCGTTTTGAATAGCGAGTGAACATGTGTGTTGCCCATGTAAAACGAACGCAATTGAACTTCTCTTTAACCAATTCAGATACTATATAGCGAAGCGGCTGCTTGTCAATCCCTTCAGTTACCATTGGCTCTACGTGGGATGGCCAATTGGCACAAGTTAATTTCACTCTTTCGCCTGTTTTATCATCAAATATCCATCTCCCATTTGTTGATAAAGGAAAAGAAAAGCAAGGAGCTGTAAAAAGATAACTAAGTGTGAGCAGAAAGAAAATCTCTTTTCCTGCCATTTTTTGTTTCAAGATTGGAGGTATGCACACTACAATTCACTGTTAATCGTATTTATAGGGGATTAGAGATGAGGGATATAGAATAATATATTATTATCTGAATATATTTTTCTTCCAAGTAGTATTTATCCATCTGTTTAAGATAACAATTCTTAGAAAATAAATTTGAAAGATGACAATATTCTGAAGGAGGAGCTAATAAGATCATAACAGAGATCCTAATATCCAAAATAAGATCATAATAGAAATCAAAGAGGAGCTAATTGTATCCAAATAATATCACAATAGATCATGAAGGAAGAGTTTGACCATTTATCATGGATTTAGTAGTGGTGCATATTTTATTTTTAAGTCAAAATTAATTATTTTCAAAATAAGAAAAAAATTATTAATGTGCTAAATTTTATATTTTTCAAGATGGCACCGTGAAAATGGATTTCTGTTATTGAATGAATTTCTGGGATAGTACATTAAAGAAAGAAAATAAAATAAAATAGAATAGAATTATTAAAAAATAAATAAATAAATTGTTGTTGTATTTTCAGGGTAAGTATCTTAAAGAAATTTTTTAAAAAATAGTATATTATTAGCAATAGAATCAATGGGTATTAAAGAAATGGAATATACTTCATCAACTTTGATGGGTAGCTCTGTGACAAAACAAACACCAGGTGGCTGAGAGGTCCATGAGGTCGTAGGTTGTATCCTCCTCTCTTGTGCCTCTCAGAGTGAAATAGTCGGATTGTGTCTACTATTTAATTAATAATTCATTATATATTATTTACTCAATTTATATTATCCACGTACTTTGCATACCTTATAATTAAAATAATAATAATAAACAAGATCAGACCTCTCTTTGCATTTCAAAAAAAAAAAAGATCAGACCTCTCAACACACTAATTAATTTCCCGTTAAGTTAGAGATTATTCTAAAGAACTGAGGAATAAAAACCCTAAAATGGTTTTCTAAGCATATCGCATTTGTCTTTAATATAATTTTCTTATAATAACAAAATTTATATAATTATATATACATTAATTACTAGTTATTAATTGTACAATAAAATTATTATTATTATTATAAATCTCCTCTGCCAGTTTTGATTTTGACTATAACGCTGGCTACATTGCCAGGCTCAAAACCTCCATTCCAAGTCAAATTCAGCAGGCAGACGAGGCAATAAAGCAGGCCAAGTAACGTTCGTCACTTCTGCTTTGAACTAAACCCAATTCACCAACAAACTTGGAATGGCTTCTCATCAGCTTCGAGTTTCCTGAAACAAACTTGCTTTCAAGAAACCATACTCACACCACTTCCGGAGAAAGGAAACCAGCTTGGAAGCTGATCATGAAGCACTTGACCTAGCAAATGCATAAAAATCTTAGTGTGCGTGGAAAGGAAACTCATCTCCAATTTTATAGGGGAACAGAGATATAATATTATCTCAATGTAGTAAAAAATATTCATAACATCACAACTTGCTTTGAATTCCAAGAAATTAAGTCTTTTTTAGGTAAAATAAAAAGTACATGACATAACGGTTCTTCAGTTTTGGGTTAAAGAGTTGGTGGATTTTGCAAAACTGCATCCATTATTTCTTGTTGAGGTTGATAGTTGTTAGTAATTAATGTAAAGGAACGCTGAAACGGACTAATTAATAAACCTAAAATCAGCTAATCTCATTATATAACCTTAATCAGGAACTAAACATCGATCCAATGAGTTTGGAATTAAGAAAACAAAAGAATCAACACCTAACAAAGCTCTAGCTAATTCGATCTAATAGGTCCTAACATTTGTGGTTACAAGCTTAAACCATTGAGTTGTTGGGTCATCCTGAGGATCTTCCAGGCAATTAGTATCCTGAAGAGTGAAATGACATTTGGTAGTGATAATCGTGGAAGTGTAGGGTGAATCCTTTTGCAAGCATAGATATTGTCCTGACGACTGATCAAAGACACCTACATGAAGCTTAGTCTCTGATAGCAATTTCCAGGAACTTTGGGGACCATGGCAATTCTCAGAAAGAATTGGTCTAACTCCATCACCAACAGCTTCAATACACAGGTCAGTGCCTTTCAATCTAATTGGATGACCATCTCCTGCATAAAACCATTGGCTCGGGTTGTTGCTGCAACTCTCTGTATATACTTCCCTTCTACTACTTGACAGGACACACGAACCACTTTGTGGGTGGAACATTATATAGTAATTATAGTAATCTGAACTTGGCTCTGCGGGAAATATTGGAAAATTAAGTGACAAAAGTATAATTTTACTAATCAAGAATTTAAGTTGAAAAATTAATGGATTGGACTAATTATTTACCTTGAAGCTTCTGCTTAATAAGCTTTAATCTATTCTCGAAATGGGGATTTCTGATACGGTTCCAGTGGTAATCCAAGACTCCAAAAGTTTCATCCATGCCAATTTTATTTGAACGGAAGTAATAGTTTCCCTGAAGGCCCCAAATAGCCCAATCCAAGTCAATATCAGAAGCATAGGCCAAAAAGCAGCTCAAGAAGTGGTCTTGAGATCTCAAAAGACCTCTTAGGTTTAACCCAAATTCACCAAGAAAAAGAGGCACGGGATTTTTAAGAGTATTAACAAAACCAGTTTGGTCAATGAAGTGTTGCAATTTGTTTTGACAAATTTGGTTAATGTTTTTATCATCCCAAGTGTCGGTCGGAGCCCAACTCCATGGGTACCAATGTGCCTCGTACACTAATTTGTTGTCATAGTTACTCCTTAAAGATTGATTCTTCAAGAAAGTGAGGTCATTAGCATAACTCAGCCCTGAAGCTAATATTATTGCATCTGGGTTTGCCTTGTGAATTGCTTCTGCTCCTTGAGTTATGTATTTGTACCAATTGTCCACATTTGACAATGGACCACGTAGTTCATTTCTTGTGCTTATTCCTATTACCTGTAAACCAAACCGAATCAAACCGAACCATTCAATGTCAGTTTCATTATTAAACAATCAATAATTATTGTATACAACACGAGAAATTAAGCAACAAACTTACATTCGGTTTACCCTTGGCGAGCTCAGCAGCTGTGGTTAAACCTTGTAGCCATTCTTCAACATCAAAATATTCGTCACCAAAGAAAGCATTTCCATCTTTTTCTCCACAACACCAAGTTGGCTTGCTAACCTGGCAATCAAGAATAACCATTACACCCTGTCTCCCAAGCTCATCAATAACGGTTTCAAAAGCCTGAGGGAGGGTCTTTTCCAGTATAAACCCATTCTGTCTTCTAATTTCTGCAACAGTTTCAGTTAGGTTAAGGGTATTAAAAGATTCTCTAACTGTGAGATTAGCATAACGAGTGAACATAAAAGTTGCCCATGTAAAACGAACACAATTGTAATTCCCTCTAACAATTTGAAAAACAATTTGCTTCAAGGGTTTGTCAGCAAGACCCTCAGCTAACATAGGTTCTAAGTGGGAAGGCCAGTTTACACAAGCTAATTTCACCCTCTCGCCTGTTTTTGAATCCACTATCCATTTCCCTTTTGTTGATAATGGCAAACAGAAGCAACAAGGAACTGATAATACAAGCAACAATATTGGAAGCAAGATTTTTGCTGACATCTTGAATAATTATCAAAGTTTGTTTGTGTTAATGTTGCACAATCTTGTTGCTTATATATATATATATTTCTTGGCTAACTGTCTAGGATTAGCATACACGATAGTTGAACATTAAAAAAGTTGCCCCATGCTAAATCAACACAAATTTGTAAATTCCCTTCACCAATTTGAATCAAAATGGCAATTGCTTCAGGGTTTGTCAGCAAGAAACTCCTCATAAAACATTAGGTTCAAGTGGAAAGGCAGTTCTACAATCAAGCTCCTCTTTTCACCCTTCTAGTCGTCGCCATGTTTGAACATCCCACTATCGCATTTCCCCTTTTGTCGAGATGAATGGCCAATACAGAATAGCTGGGGCCGCTAAAAAAAAAACAAGAGAAGGGGGAACATAAAAACTCTGGATTTTTTTTTTTTTTAAAATTTTAAAAAAAAAAACTCCAAAGAACAAGAGGGGGAGGCAACAAAAAAAAAAAAATAAAGAACAACACGCCCGCCACCACAAAAAATATTTGGAAGCATAGATTTTGCATTGACATCTTGATTATAATATATCAAAGTGTATATGGTTGTATGATTTAACTCGTGCACAAATTCTTGTATGCCTAGTAATCACGATAATATAGTAATAATACATAATACATTATAATATATATTATCAGAAGAATAAGGGAAGGTTTTTGTATGAACTATATTTTTAGTGAGATTAATATACTTTATTTTATTTGAAACTATTATTATCTCTCTTTTAAAATATATATATTCAGAGATAAGGGGAAGTTTTTTTGAACTATATTTTAGTAGATAATATCTATTTTTTGAACTATTATTATCTCTCTTTTTAATAATAATAATCCTTTCTTTTGATCTTGAAGGAATTTTTATCCCTTCTTTTGTTTAAATTTGTAAAATCCACTAACCATTTCCCTTTTTTTTCTTAGGGTTTTACGGTTTCAGATTATCGTCCTATTGCTCCTTAGCTGATGACATTTCTGGTGTTAGCTATCTTAGGTCCCTTGTTAGCTAGCTTTCTACTCTCTTTTTATAACCAAATAATAATAATAATAATAATAATAATAATAATCTCATCATAAAATAACAATAATAAAATTTATAATAATGTTAAAGAAATGTTTATTGGGGTGATTTTTTGCTCCGGATTCTCTTCAGAATTGGGTTTCCTGGAATTTTACTAAAACGAATTTTCTTTTCAGTGATGTTTCTTGGAGTTCATTTTGGTTCACTTTGCTGGTTTCTTTGGAAAAATAGGAATGTTATTGTATTTGGAGATGAGTTTTCTTCTTCTATCGATTTAAATCATCTTGCAATATAGTCTTCTTAAGGATTATAGTGTGCTGCAATCTCGAGGTGCTCCTTCTGCCCCTGCAATTGGGGGTGGCTTGATTCGGGATGGTGCGGACAGGATCTAGAAACATTTGAATTAACTGAAAGATTTTTTTTTCTTTCATAAGAAGTGAGAAAACTTAAGATTTTATGTTCTTCATATCAGAGTAATTTGTATAATACTAAAAGATACTATAAAAGCTGATATCAGCAGAAGAGTATTTGTTCAAAGAAATAATATATATATTATTCACCAGGAATTCTACCATTAAAAAAGATCATAACTGTCAAAATACTAAATCCTAAGTTGGTTTTTCTATCTATAAAACATTTGTCTTGACGAATTTAAACCATTGGGCTATTGGCTCATTGCGTGGACCCTTTAGATATTCTGCATCTTCAAGCATCAAAGTACAATTTCTAGTAATTATCTTTCTAGTGTAGGGGGATTCCTTCTGCAAGCAAACTTGTTGTCCTTTATCATCTATGGAAGCCAAGTGAAACTTGGTCTTGGAAAGCTTTTCCAAGAACTTTGCTCGCTTGAGCAATCTTCAGAAAGCATTGGTTCCCATCCATCACTAACAACTTTAATGCATAGTCTTTTTCCCTTCAACCTGATCGGATCCCCATCTCTGGTATGGACCCAATGGCTTGGTGCCTTGCAATCGCCTGCAGATATTCTCTCTGTACCGTCTGCATTGATGCAGGTTCCGCTCTGTGGATGAAACATTATATGGGATACCTGAGATTTTAAACTTGGGTCTGCATCAAAAAAAAAAAAAAAAAAACTGGGTTTGCATCAAAAAAAATATAAAAATGTCCTGTGTCTAGATACTAGATTAAGTTTGATGTTAAATGTACTCTTATAAGTTATCGTCCCAAGATGACCAAGTACCTTGAAAGCTTCAACTTAAGTAAGGTTCCATTCCTTCTCTTGTTTTAAGTGTTGGGTTTTCTAACCACCAGCGTTTCCCAATTGTAATCCATAACACCTTAAGTCTCCTCCATACAATTTGATTTTCTCTATAAATGATAGAGGCTACCTTTGCATTGCCATTAACAACTACCTTGAAGCTTCAACTTAATAAGTTCCATCCTTCTCTGATATTCTGGGTTTCTAACACGGTCCCAATTGTAATCCATAACACCATAAGTCTCCTCCATACCAATTTGATTTTCTCTATAATGATAGAGCTACCTTGCCATGCCCATAACACCCATTCCAAGTCAAATTCAGCTGCATAGGCCAAAAAGCAAGCCAAGAAACGTTCATCACCTCTGCTGAAAGCTCTTTGGTCTAGACCAAACTCACCCATAAACATAGGGAATGGCTTCTCAGCATTCATGACAAATCCAGTTTGGTTAAAAATACGTTGGGTTTCGTTATAGCAGACCCCGTTCACATCTTCCATATTCCAATATCCACCATGACCAACTAAATGGATACCAATGTGCCTCGTACACCAATTTGTTATTAAAGCTAGTCTCTAAAGGCTTTTTCTTCAGGCAAGTTAGGTCACCGGCATAACCAAGTCCTGAAGCAAATATTAGTACAGGAGGATTTGCCTTTTGAATGGTTTCTATTCCTTGTTCCATGTACTTGTACCAGTCTTCCTCATTTGAACGAGGTCCACGTATCTCGTTTCTTGTGCTTATTCCTATCACCTGTAATGAAAAATCCAAATCAATGCAAAGATTAATAAATTGTTAAGATTTCAGATGCATGCATGAATAAAGAAATAAGATAATGTGACTTACGTTAGGTCTACCCTTAAAACAGTGCGTTTAGAATAGCGAGTGAACATGTGTGTCGCCCATGTGAAACGAACGCAATTGAACTTCTCTTTAACCAATTCAGATACTATATATCTAAGTGGCTGCTTGTCAATCCCTTCAGTTACCATTGGCTCTACGTGGGATGTCCAATTTACACAAGTTAATTTCACTCTTGCACCTGTTTTATCATCAAATATCCATCTCCCATTTGTTGATAAAGGAAAAGAAAAGCCAGAAGCTGTAAAAAGAAAACTCAGAGTGAGCAGAAAGAAAATCTATTTCCCTGCCATTTTTGGTTTCAATATTGGAGGTGTACGCACTGTAAAGCACAGTTGATCATATTTATAGGGATCAGAGATGAGGGATATAAGATAGAATATATTTTTCTTCCAATTATCAGTTATCCATATATTTAAGATAATAATACTTTGTTAATTCTCATAAAATAAATTTGAAAGATAATAATATTCTATCCAAACAAGATCATAACAGCCTTTTGGTAAAAAAAAAAAAAAAAACATAACAGAGATCAAGAGGAGGACCTAATAATATCTAAATAAGATTACAATAGTCATGAAGGAGGAGTTTGAACATTTATCATGGGATTTAGTAGCGGTGCAAATTTTATTTTCAAGTCAAAATTTATTTGTGGTTAAAATTTATATTTGTGAAGATCAAAGATGGCACCATCAAAATGAATTTTTGTTGATGAATGAATACTTGAGATTTGGTAATTAAATTTATAATAGCTTTTAATAAAATGGAGTATTAATAAAATTATTAGCTTGCCTAAATTATTAAGATGAAATAAAATAATTGATGATGTATTTTTTGATGGTATATTAAAGAAATGTTTAAAAAATATTATATTATTTAGCAATAAAGAACACACGACCATTGGGTATTAAAAAAATAGTATATACTTCATCAACTTGAAAGGTAATTCAATTGCAAAGAGCATTTAAAGAGATTGAGAGATCTCCGAAGTCATAAGTTCAAGTCCTCTCTTATAGTTCTCAAAGTGAAATAGTCGAATTATATTGACTATATAAATTTCACTGTTATCACATTTGTTTTTACATAATTTCTTATAATAACAAAAGTTATATAATTATATATAGATTAATTACTGGTTACTATAATTATATATAATAAAAATAATAATAATAATATTATTATTATTATAAGTCTCCTCTGCCAGTTTGATTTTTCTACCTTGCCAAGCGCACAACCTCCATTCCAAGTCAAATTCAGCAGCAGCACTTGAGGCCATAAAGCAGGCAAGCAACGTTCGTCACTTTTGCTTTGAACTAACCCAAATTCACCCGCAAACTTGGAAATGGCTTCTCCCAGCTTCGAGTTTCCTGAAACAAACTTGCTTTCAAGTAAACCATACTCACACCACTTCCGGAGAAAAGAAACCAGCTTGGAAGCTGAAGCACTTGACCAGGCAAATCCATTAAAATCTTATTGTGGGTGGAAAGGAAACTCATTTCCAAATTTATAGGGGAACAGAGATGAGGGTTACAGGATATATAATATTTACTGAATATAGTAAAAATTGTTCATAACATCACAGCGTGCTTTGAATTCCAAGAAATGAAGTCTATTTTAGGTAAAATACCCAGTACATGACATAACGGTTTTTTAGTTCTGGGTTAAAGAGTCGGTAGATTTTGCAAACCAGAAGCTATTATTTCTTACTGAGGTTGATAGGAATCAGCAACTCTCCAATGGCCCTGCTTTCAACGTTAGTTGTTAATACAAGTAACTGATAATACAAGCAATAAAATAACAATAATAAAATTAATAATAATGTCGAAGAAATGTTGTTTATTTGGGGTGTTCTTTTGCTCTGGATTTTGTTCAGAATTGGATTTCCTGGAATTTTACTAAAACGAATTTTCATTTTCTTTTCAGAGATGTTTCTTGGAGTTCATTTTTCAGTTCACCTAGCTGGTTTCTTGGGAAAAATAGGAAGGTATTATATTTAGAGATGAATTATATTTAGTCTTGCCAAGGATTATAGTTTGCTGCAATCTCTTATGCTCGTGTTTATGGTGGTTAGATTTTGTTAGTGTCCTTTTATTGTACCAAAACAAAAATGTACAAGAAATGTTGAAAATGGAGCAAATTAATCAATAAACATAAAATAAAATGATATGTCATTAATTTCTCCTTAGTTAGGAATTAAAAACCATTCTAGGTACTAATTCTGAATTCTGATAAACCTTAGCTACTTAAATTTAAGGGCAGCAACCTAATTAAGGTCTTACATTTGTTTGAACAAGCTTAAACCACTGAGTTGTTGAGTCTTTCTGTGGATCTTTCATGCAAGGATCATCTTCAAAAGTTAAACTACATTTGATAGTCAGAATTGATTTAAGGGCGAGGCAAACCTAATTAGTTTCTTACATGTTTGAACCAGCTTAAAACTGACAGTGCTTGGGTACTTAATATCTGGGCATCTTTCATGAAGCGATCATTCTTTCCCAAAATGTATATTTAAACGTTACATTTGATAGTCAGAATTGCAGAAGCTGTAAGGGGCACATCCTATTTTGCAAGCAAAGAGATTGTCCCGGACATCATCTATAACAAGCTACATTAAGCTTTGTAAGCTTGAAAGCAACCAAGAACCGGCCGAAGCAATTTTTCAGAAAGAACTGGTTGAAAAAGTCCATCCCCTATAGCTTCAATTACATAGTTTGGCAGAAGCAGACGGATTACCAACTATCAGTGCGTTGTTCCCTTGTTCGGAATCGGCAACAGCTTTGTAGCTGAAAGCAATTTCCAAGAACTTTTCTGGCCCGAGCAATTTTCAGAAAGAACTGGTGAAAGTCCATCCCCTATAGCTTCAATACATAAGTTTGTGCTATGAAGCTTGATCGGATGACCAACTATCAGCGTGTTCCCATTGGTTCGGGTTATCGCAACTATCGGATGAATTATATTTAGTCTTGCCAAGGATTATAGTTTGCTGCAATCTCTTATGCTCGTGTTTATGGTGGTTAGATTTTGTTAGTGTCCTTTTATTGTACCAAAACAAAAATGTACAAGAAATGTTGAAAATGGAGCAAATTAATCAATAAACATAAAATAAAATGATATGTCATTAATTTCTCCTTAGTTAGGAATGAAAAACCATTCTAGGTACTAATTCTGAATTCTGATAAACCTTAGCTACTTAAATTTAAGGGCAGCAACCTAATTAAGGTCTTACATTTGTTTGAACAAGCTTAAACCACTGAGTTGTTGAGTCTTTCTGTGGATCTTTCATGCAAGGATCATCTTCAAAAGTTAAACTACATTTGATAGTCAGAATTGTAGAAGTGTAAGGTGAATCCTTATGCAAGCAAAGAGATTGTCCCGACTCATCTATAACAGCTACATGAAGCTTTGTAGCTGAAAGCAATTTCCAAGAACTTTTCTGGCCCGAGCAATTTTCAGAAAGAACTGGTGAAAGTCCATCCCCTATAGCTTCAATACATAAGTTTGTGCTATGAAGCCTGATCGGATGGCCATCTTCGGCGTGTTCCCATTGGTTCGGGTTATCGCAACTATCGGCGTATATTTCCCCTCTCTCATTTGTACTGATACAAGCACCACTTTGTGGATGAAAAATTACATAAGATTGGTAGAAGTCTGAGGTTGGATCTGCAACGAAAATTTTCCATCAGAAATTGTCAAAATCTTGAACAGGACATTTTCCAAGTCAATTGATCAATTGGGATTACTCACCTTGAAGCTTCTGCTTAACAAAATTTAACCTGTTCTCCATAAATGGACTCCTGACACGGTTCCAGTAACTATCCAAGACACCAAAATGTTCATCTGCATATTCTTTATTATTACGGATATAATAGCTTCCTTGCAAGCCCCAAATAGCCCAATCCAAGTCAATATCAGAAGCATAGGCCAAGAAACAACTCAAGAAGTGGTCTTCAGATAGGTCAAGACCTCTTTGACTAAACCCAAATTCTCCAAGAAAAAGTGGAAATGGGTTTTCAAGTGTGGTAATAAAACCAGTTTTTGAAATGAAAGAATCCAATTTATCTTTACAAACTTGGTTTATGTCCTTCACATCCCAATCACTCTTTTGACCCCAACTAAATGCATACCAATGTGCCTCATACACTAATTTGTTATCATAATTGGTTCCTAAAGACTGTCTTTTCAAGAAAGTGAGATCAGTTGCATAACCTAACCCTGAAACAAATATTAGTACATCTGGGTTTGCTTTGTGAATTGCTGATGCTCCTTCATTAATGTACTTGTACCAATCGTCCACATTTGACAATGGCCCTCGTAGTTCATTTCTTGTGCTTATTCCTACCACCTACAGATCAAACCAAACCATAAAATGTCAGGATCATTAAGAGAATTTCAAGAAGTTAGTTTATGCTTCTCCTTTTCCAAGAAACGTATAATTTTAACCTACAGGAAAAGAGAAAAGAACAAATAGACAATAAGCTCACATGTGGTTTGGACTTGACAAGCTCAGCTACTTTGGTTAAACCTTGTATCCATTCTTGAACATCAAAAGAAGTGTCGCCAAAAAAAGCATTACCATCCCTTTCTCCACAGCACCAACTTGGCTTGCTAACTTGACAATCAAGAACCGCCATTACACCTTGATTGCCAAGCTCATCAATAACAGCTTCAAAAGCCTGGACGAGGGTCATGCTATATAGAAAAAGATTATGCTTCTTTATTCCTCCTGTAGTTTCAGTTAACTTGAGAGTTTGAAAAGATTGCTTCACAGTGATATTAGCATATCTAGTGAACATAAAGGTTGCCCATGTTAAACGAACACAATTGTATTTCTGCTTTACTATTTGTTCAACAATGCGCTTTAATGACTGTTCACGAAAACCTTCAGCTACCATTGGCTCCAGATGCGCAGGCCAATTGACACAAGCTAGCTTAACACGTTGCCCTGTTTTTGAATCAACTATCCATTTCCCATTTGTTGATAAAGGTAAAGAAGAGCAAGGAATGGAAAATAGAAACGAGAAGGAGAAGAAGAGAATGGCTGGGAGAAGTGATTTTGCTGACATCTTGAAAGAAGCCTATCAAAAGTGGGTTTGTATTGTTCTTTCTTGTCTTTTGGCCCATATATTTATAAAGGCATTTACAGATAAGATACAGTTTAATCTTCTATTTAAACAGATTTCCAATATATTTTATCTCAAGTAAAATATACAAAATCTGATATGGTAATTTTAATTATCCATCTCTAAACCAATTTGTTTTCCTCAGTGTCTTCCGTCCTCAGTGATAATAGCTACAGAGGTTGAGATTTTAACAAGATTCAAGACGTGTGATTTTATTTTCTGTTCTTGGTATTGATAAAAGATTTATTTATGGTGTTTCAAGCACTATTTTTTTCCTTTACTCACCAAATTATAGATTTTTTTTCTTGTTGGTAAGAACATTATCTGGAGGGCTTAACGCTTTAGTATAAAAATGAAAAACCATTTATTCTATCTATAATTTTATTTATTGTGTTCTTTTCAACAAATCCTAATTATTTAACTACTATATATTGGTTTTTACACGCTTGAACCATTGGCATTGGGGAGTTGAAAAATTGTTCATGTAAAGCATAGGTTCTCTCTTATTTCAACAAATCCTAATTATTTAACTTCAACTATATATTGGTTTTTACACGCTTGAACCCACTAAAATTGGCATTGGGGGAGTTGAAAAATTGTTCATGGGTTAAAGCATTAGGTTTCTCTCCTTTTTTTTTTTCATTTATTATAATAGGTATATATATAATATATTATATATACTATTACATAAATATTAATCATCATGATATAAGTATAATTTCCCAATATGTTGACCGAAAGATAATTTATTGAAATGTAAATTTCTTAAAAGTGATTGAATATATATATATAATTCCAATATGTTGACCGAAAGATATATTGAAATGTAATTTTTAAAAAGATGAGAAAAGAGGGAATGGCTCTTCTTCCTGTTTTCGCTTGGCAACTTTTATGAAGAACATAAAGTACATACTATTTTCAAGTGATTGTTGTCAATTTCATGAATTGTTGTCCAACTGCTGCTAATACTTTCTTGCATATAAAGGAAATCCGATCTATTAATGGATTTCTTTGTAGAAAGAACTCAAGGCCTTGCCTTGCATGGTTTAGGAATATTAAACATTCAACTGAATTCCATTTGCCAATTGCCATCAAAGATCTGTTTATGGTAACTACAGCCCAATAACGGAGCTTATTGTAAGATAGAAAAAACATAACTTAAAAATGCTACAAAACCTAAGCCCCTTAACTAACCCCAATCTCGTAGATAAATGAGGAATTAAAAGGGCTTCCTTTACTTTTTCCGAAAGGACTTCATAAAAGGACCTTCACCAAAACCCTATTCTATCATCAAAAATGAAAAATGGAATCCAAAGATTAAACCCAAAAAGAGAAAAAGAAAAAAGATCAAAAATTGATTGTGAACAGGGCCAAATGCACCTGCCCTATACTAGTTTTACTAGAACAGGGCTATGTTGTAAGGATCAGGGAACTACTTTTGCTTGTGAATGCTCCAAAGTTACAACAGGTTTTCTCCTCCTTTAATGCTGCTCATTTAGATTTCTTTTGGTCAGAAACCCTGGCTCCCGCGATCTTAACAACAGGCTGCTCTTTTGACTGAATGAGCTGTAGGGCTGGAGGAACTTTGAGATCTCCCATCACCAACTTTTGGCCCACGTCCAGTTCACTTAGATCCACATCAATGTATGGAGGGATGATATCTGCAGGGCAAAGGAACTTCACGGTCCTCTTAATAGTATTCAAATAAGAACCTGCCAAGTTTGCAAGCAAAATTATAGTTCTGCAGATTAGATCGACGCAATTGCAAATTACAAAGAAGCCAGATGGGCAAGTCTGTTTGTATGTAATAAAAAGCCACATAAATGAAAAATGATGATATCTTCTAGGAATATTGTCACTAGAGGAGGAGAGTCTTCTCACTCGCTCCAAGAAATCAACAGTAAGGAATAAGCAGATAATCGTTATTAATTACTAGGTAGTCTGATTCTGAATACTGGTTATAACATATATTCTAACCATGATTACTGTCTCTTGTAATTGCCTATCAATAAAACATTTGCAGTGTAGCGTCAAAAGTAAAAAGTCCTTCTTGATGCTCATAATTTTTTTTCGTTGATTATCTTCCATTGATCACTGAATAAGACCTATAGTTGGTCTCAGATGCCACTTTAGGAGGTCTAAGGTTTAAACAATTATAATGAAGTGGGAAGGGCACTTGCTGAGACAGGTTACGCCAAAAAACATATTCCAATGACTCTATATGGGGAATGACTAAAGATTCAGAACACAACCATGGAGAACTAGGATTTCAGCAAGAGAAGCACTTCATTGTTTATTCGCATGACACACACGAAAAGTGCATCAACTAAGAGCAGGTAGCAAATATATTATCTGAAGAAATTCTGATATCATTTTATAAGCATGCCCCCCAAGTTTACCAACTCAAATCCATTTTTAAAGTTTCATTACCAAAATGTGACAGATCTACCATCATTGCCTCTAGCCATGCAATCTAATGTCTGGAGACAGCTATAATTGTAAAAAGATGCAAGACTCAATATCATGCACTATTCAGATATCAAATGTGTTAAGTTAAGCCATACAGAATTTACAGAGACAAAGGCTAGAAAATGAGAAATTGGAAACTAAAAGCCATAACGAAGGAAAATCATAGGGGTATCTCTAGGTGCATCAAGCTTCAACTGCTTACTTGAATGAAAAAACAATATAAAGAGAAAATTGATACATAAATCACTTGGACCCAATAACTAGCACCAAATTTATTGGCATACTAAACATGAAGCTTGATCAGGCAAGCAGAAGACAACAGAATGTTAGGGAGGTTTTACTAATTGCAAGCCTACAATTCCATCTTCTTTCTCACTTTTGCTAGATTGCAATATGGAAGTCTCAGTCAAATAATAATCCAATCAATATTGGTATTCTCAATCTGGCCACTCATAAAGATATTAGCAGATAGCTTAGGGAAACTTCATAAAATATAACTAGCCGAAGGGGAAAACAATACATACATTCTTCATGTTTTAAATTTTAAATGCAATAAGATGCAATACAAGTTCTTTTTTTTTTCTTGTATAGATCTGAATTTATACACGGAGTTATTTTAATGGATTAAGACCTGACTTTGGCATAATCACAATAACTTATCAACAAGAATTTCGAACTCACATAAGAAGTTAAAAAGTGCATGAAGAAATGACTAACCTTTCCTGAGTCCAGGAGATACATCTTCTCCTCTGAAGACAAGAGGAACATCAACCTTCAACAAAGCATTAGAGGGTGCCCTTATGAAGGTCACGTTGATGGGCGTATCAGATACAGCATGCAAATGAACCTGAGAAGTTTCAACGAGACAAATATACAAACTTTATTCCTAACATTTTCTCAGCTGAGTAAAATATTCATTAAATTTCTCAGCAATCAAACACAAATCATATTTCAACTTTATTCACATTAACATAAGAAATTAAGAAAAATCCCAAGTACATCGGTATTACCAATCTCGGCAAGACCCGAACTTTCTCGATGATCTCGTCGGACCCAAACTCCGTTCTAACCTCAAGATTAAAAAGCCTGGACAAGAAAAATGATCTCCCAAGCTTATTAACCAAATTCCTAATTTGATTTGATTGAACTGAAACTAGCCTTTTATTGCCGCCATGCTGCCCATCTTCCTGCTCGAATACAATGCTAGGGACACGCCCTGCTTTTCTTTCTTTCACGGCAATGTTCTTGCCGGAGGCGGCTCGAGGGACAGCGAGGATAGTCTGTATGGGACCAGGCTTAGGAAAACCGTCGAGGTAGGTCAATCGGGCTGCCTCGATTGCTGGTTCTTCGATGACAGCGGCAGTGGCAGATTGTGAGAAGTAGCGGAGGTGCTGGGTTTTGGCTAGTGTGAATCGGTGAATTCTAAACATAGTGAGAGATATACAAAGGTAAAGTAAAGTGAAGGGTTCAAGGGAGGTTTTTCTGATTTGGGGGCTATTCGTGAGGTAGAAGAAAGGTTTTTCGAACGAGTGAGAAACGCGGATGGTCCGATTAGCGTCGCCGTGTCGGGTGGGTTTCTGAGATTCTAAAAACGGCACCGCATCCGTAGTTTTTCTTTTCTTTTTTGATTTAATTTTTCCAGTATGTTTACAAAAACGAAAGAAAAAAAAAAATGAAACGCTACCGTTTTACTGCAAATAGGCAAGTGGCACCCAAAAATGGATATTCGTTCAAAATGTTCTGTTCTCCTTCGAGAGAAGACGGTTGTGCCATTTGAAATGTCGAAAAAACCCTCACCATGATCGCAAAGAAATGCTTTAGAGTTTTGAATTACGAGGATTACACATGGTTAAAACTGTCAACCAGAAAAAAACTGGTATTTTGGTTAACTAGTTTACTAGCACCTCAATATCCAGTTCTCAGTTCCAGCAGAATTCTACACAGTACGCACTGAAGGGAGATTTTCGAATATGGCTTGGAAATTTCAGGTAATGTAAATTCTACCCCACCATCTTTCTCTATTCCAATTTTTTGCTTTTTTTTTTTTTTTTTTTTTTTTTTTTAACTAGCACTTCAATCCATCTCACGTTCCTCATTCCAGCAGATATGTCTATCATAGTACGCCTCACACTGAAAGGGAGATTTTCGAATATGGCTGGGATTTCAGGCTAACGTATTTCTACCCCACCATCTTTTCTTTCTCTTTCCATATTTGCTTTTTTTCTTTTTTTTTTTTTATTTGAGAATCTTATTTTTTTCGTCTAATTAAGTATCCTTATTTTATTTCACCATTTTTTTTTTTTTTTTTTTTTTTTTTTGAGAATCTAATTTTTTTGCTATTAGTATCCTTATTTATTTCCATTTGCTTTTGTTTGATTTCCTTATTTTTGTTGTTTTTGGTTAATTTAATTGGTCCCTTAGAGATTTTTCTATAATTTAGTCTTTAAGGTGAATAGCCAAAACCCCACTCAATTCTAAAACTTTTTACTCCTTCAACTTGACTTCTAAGGAATACATACAATGCAAGCAATCCCGTCACCAACAACCTTTTTTTATCTCTGGGTTTAACGTTAAATGCTGATTTAGTTGGTGAAAGTGAAACCCAAGAATTGACTGCTTAACTCAATGAAATTAGGCTCTCTATATCCTTTCTCTGTCATCTTCCTTTCTTTCCTATAACGTTCTCTCTGTGTGTCTCCGGGTGAATTCTGCAATGAAGTGTTGGTGCCAAATTGCAGGACTCGTCCACTTGATGATCGATAGCCATAGGTGGGTACATCTTTCCCTTTCTTTTTTCTTTTTCCAGTACATTCACATTGATCGAAGCGGAAAACAAACTCGAATCCCATAAAAGGGAGAATATTAGCTTGATTTGTAACATACATGCATGTTAGAAAAGTTAAAAAATTTTATGTTCTACTGTCTAAATGAGGTTAACCTTCTGTCCTACAAAAAAATAACATTCTTTATAAAATATTGGTAAGCTCATTGGATTTAGTAGCTGTCTCTTGAGGTTGCTTCCATTGCATTTGTTATTCACTGTCATGTGTTCACTTTTGATGAATGCTTCTTCTGTTGAGTATCATGCTTTTGGTAGGGTCACCAAAATCATTTCAAAGTTTTTATATTGAAAATGCTTCTTTGATTGGGCATCAGAGTCAAATCCAAGATTTGTGGTATCAAATACTATATAATCAATCAATTTTCAATTCTTGTTTTGTTGTCTTTTAGTGTTTAATCCATTCCAGACACATTGGTTAGAGAGAGAAAATTATATAACTTTGTGTCTGTTTTGGATGGCAATAGCTTGTGAAGTGACTGGGCACAAAATGTTAAGCCCTTTTAAGTAGAGTTTGGATTGGAGGTTCATGTCTTTTATTAGAGGTCAGGATTTTTCTCCTTCATGAAAAAAAAAAAAAAAATGAAGGTTCATTGTCTTTCTATTAGAGGTCAGGATTTTTCGTCCTTCAATTGAAAATACAAAAAAATTGCACACTCTTCTTGTTTTGGGTAAATTACTATATGATCTATTATGGTTTGGTAAAATCTCTTATTATTATGTATAAATATTCAGCCAAAAAACAAAAAAGTTAATTTTATCAATCTTACTTATAACGGAACAACCCCTATGTTTCTCCCAAAAATTTTCCAACCTACACAAAACATTAGTAATTAAAAACCAAGATTATTGATTTCATTGTAATTTTTATAGTTTTGTTATCTTAAGGGTATTTTTATCTGTTTTATTACTATAAGCATTTCACAACAGAGAATATATTATTAAACAAAAGAAATCAATTATTGCGAATCAGGGTAAGGATGCATTCTCGTAATTTTTGAAGACATTAAGCTCTAGAATTAATTAAAAATAATAAAATTCATAATTTAAGTCTCCTTTAAAAAAAAAAAAAAAAAAATGCCACCACTCTTCTTGTTTTGGGTAAATTACTATTGATATGTATGGTTTGGTAAAAATCCTCTTTTATTGAAAAATCAGAAAAAAAAAAAAAGTTAATTTTAATCAATCTTACATAAGAAAACCCCATGTTCCCAAAATTTTCAAACCACAAAAAAAAAAATTGTATAAAAACCAAGATTTTGATTTTTGTCTTTTTAGTTTTGTTATATCAAAGGGTATTTTTATCTTTTAACTAAGCATTTAACAACAAAAGATTTATATTTTAAACAAAAGAAATCATTAATTCAACAGGGTAGGATGCATTCTCGTATTTTTGAACGACATTAAGCTTCTAGAATTAATTAAAATAAATAAAATTATAATTATGATAAAATATGAGGGACTAAATAGTCATATCCATTTGTTTCCTTAACAGCAAAGATTTTCTATGTCCATTAAGCAAAATGAATGACCAATCTACTCATCACATTAGTTGCCTTAATAACTAGAATCCACAATTAATACTCTTAAACTATTAATCGAAGGGTCCGCATCGCTCAACGTGTCGCGCGACCATAAGTCCGATTATATCATTTGGTACACTAACGAATACACGTGACTTTCCTCCTCGGCGCAATATCAATTTCAAATAGGCACCTCAAATTATATTATTTTATTTTATTGGACTTTTTAGAAAATAATTTTTTTTAATTTACCTTTCAAAAAAATTTAATTAAAAGTATACCTGTACAAAACTTTATTTTTTATCTTTATTAGAATAAATCAAATTGTAAACCATGTCTTTCTATATATACATATATTTATTTATTTATTATCTTAACTGATTCATATTATTAAATTTTGATGTTAATTAGGAATATATGTTGTAAATATAATTAATTAATTTAAAATCAAATATTTCATTTATTTTGAACTTTATTTCAAAATAAAAATGATTGAAATTAATAAAAAATAACAAGTCGATAAATATAATAACTTAAAATCATTTAAAATTTCAAATTTAAAGATATGTTTTAATTTAGTTCATTAACTAAAATAATTAATTAATATAGAAATTAGAAATTTGGACAGCTTAGGTCCTTAAGGTCATACAACACCCAACCACTCTCATCTAGAAATGTGTACAAGTTTAACGTCGTAATGTAACGGAGTTCCTGAAATAAAATCAGCAGAGCCGTTAAACCTAACCGGCGTTAATCCTAGGTCCTATAAAATGTACCCATTTGTTTATCTCTTTCCATCTGGACGATTACCAATCGAGGCTGTAGCTTCGGTTTCCGAACCTATCGGCAGCTAAGATTTATTTTATAATATCAACGGCCCTGATTAATTCTTCCATAAACGCCCTTTAGTTGGGCCAGGTTGGTATATACAGAGAGAGTTTATTGTGTGTCCGTGTTCTTAAGCCAAATTAAAAAGGCGAGATTCTCCTCAAGTTTAGTTTCTTCTCCATTTCGAACGCTATAGGGTTTTTAGGGTTTGGTTTTGTGCTCTGAAACGATGGCGGAGCATCACAAAGAGGAATCAGTGATAGAATCAGTGATGGAAAAGATATCGGAGAAGATCCACGGCCACGATTCTTCGTCATCGTCCGATTCCGATAACGATGAGAAGTCAAAATCGTCTTCATCTCCATCTTCTATGAAATCAAAGATTTATCGCATCTTTGGCCGTGAAAAGCCCGTCCACAAGGTCCTTGGTGGTGGCAAACGTATGTTTCGTTTCTCAACTATTTTTGGATTTTTGTAATGTTTTTGCTATCTGTTATTATTTTTATTTACCTGTTTGGTTTCCTGGAATTCTGTTAACAAGAGATGGCTAACAATTGTTGTTGACACTGATCCTGACATTCTCACTATCAAAGTAATTGTAAGTTTAACTCCATAAATATTTCTTATAAGCATAGGCGATCTAGATCTGGCTTTAATTATTGTTAGATCTGATTTTTGTGATTTTAATTAGTTGATGTTTATAGGTGTAAAGGATAGTGATTTACTTTATTGATCGGTAACAGTACTTGAGGCGATTGGTTCCAATAAAGTTATAAAGTTGCCTTTTATTTCTTTACGCAGCATGTCCCTTCCTTTTGGAGCAGAATTAAGCTGATTAATCATATTTGAAGCTTAAATAATTGTTCTTCTCTTTCCTTGCTAAAAGTTCCTTCCCAGGACAAGTACAAATTATATTTAATTAATTGCTTATTTATTTTGAGCTCAGTGAACTCCTTTTAGATATTAAATTCACTAGGATATTGCGGTTTCATCACATTAAATTTCTTGATTTTCTCCTGAACTTTGTACGTCTACATCAATGTAAATAATGGAATCGTGACATTTTTTTATTCATTTTCTTATGAGCACCAAACTTGTTGATTATATCTTTATCTGGCATTTGCGGATGTTATGAATGAAATAGCTGCGGATATTTTCCTCTGGAGGAATAAGAAGATATCAGCAGGAGTGCTTGGTGGTGCAACTGCTATATGGGTTCTGTTCGAATTGATTGAATATCATCTTCTCACTCTGATATGCCATGGATTGATCCTTTCTCTCGCTGTACTGTTCTTGTGGTCAAATGCCTCCACCTTTATCAACAAGTGGGTTTTTGGTACTTTGTACTGCTAATGCTCTCAAGTATCTGGATTTGAGGTATAATCTAAACCGTTTTATTTGACTTTAGGAGCCCACCACGTATTCCAGAAGTTTATATCCCTGAGGAGCCTGTTCTTCAGGTAGCTGATGCACTCAGGAGTGAGATCAATTGGGGTTTTGCTGTCCTTCGAGATATCGCATCAGGAAGAGATCTGAAGAAGTTCCTCTCTGTAAGCTGATTCTCTTTCTAATTTGATGGACATGCATGAATGGCTGGTTTTTGGTTCATCTTTAATAGATTACATTTACCTCATCTGAATAACTGCCTTATGTAGTTGTGTAGCATGTTAGTCACGGTTATCAGAACTTTCTATTGATCTTATGGTTCTGTTTATTCTGGTTTCTGACTTGGTTTTTCCTTCTGAAATTAGCACATCATTACTAACAAATGATACCTGTTTGGTCAGGTAATAGCTGGTTTATGGGTCTTGTCTATTGTGGGGAGTTGGGTCAATTTCTTGACCTTGTTCTATATAGGTAACAAACCACCATAAGAATTACTAGAATTTTTCAACAGTTGCTTTCTATTAATTGCTTTTGATTCATTGTGACTTTTGGTCAATTCTTAATATGGTGTTGTGGGTTTTTGCAAGCAGTTTTTGTACTGCTATACACAGTGCCCGTTTTCTATGAGAAGTATGAAGACAAGGTGGATTCATTGGCTGAGAAGGCATTGATCGAACTCAAAAAGCAGTATGCAGTCCTTGATGCTAAGGTCTTAAGCAAGATCCCTAGAGGACCATTGAAGGACAAGAAGAAGGATTAGAGCAGTTTATTTATGCTCTTACTAGGACTTGACACAATTGGTAGATGTGTTTTTGTGAAATTGTGGAACTGTATCCAGTATCTTGTACGCTTTTTATATTTTAGACGGTTGGGTTCACATTGTGGATGAACATCGGATTTTTATACTCGCATGTGTTTTATGAGTGATCTTGTGACATATTACAATACAATATGAATTAGTGCCTGTACATTGGCTGTCAATTTTTATTTTTATTTTAGATGGCCTCCCGTTTTGCTATTTGGCCTTATTAGAAATTCATATTTCTGTGTGATGCGAAATCAGATGAGAATTGTTATCAATACATGGTAACATATAGAGAGGAATTACATGAACTAAAGTTCACTAGCTCAAAAGGAATGCCACAAATTCTTCGATATTAATGTTTTGGCAATTAAAGGAAATTTGAAGAACTGGTGTAGCAGCTCAGACATGGGGCAATTACTAGTACATATACAATTTTTGCATAAACTAAAGCTGATGATTGCTACAATCGGAGGGAAAAAGACGAAACAAAAAGGAAAAAGGTTGACCAAGTCCTAAAATGCCGAAACACAACACACTTCCTCGCACTACTAATTTAAGAGAATACAACCAACACAAGTATATTGGATTCTTTTTCCATCAGGCATGGCCTCAGAGCTCTCCAGTCAAGGTGGCCGTTCTTATTCTACAATGAAGCAGGCTGCAAAAACGAGGTCTACCTGAAGCATTATACATACAAATCAAATACATAATATTACACCATCACCTAGTACACCAGAAAATTTCCCTCTTATCCTTAGAAGAGGGTAAAGGAGCTTGCAGGAATTTGTATTCTTATAAGAAATAAGACAATTGCTCAGTTTTCCTTGAACCCCCTTCTCCATACAAATCATTCCACTGCTTCAACTCGCTCATTATAGATCCCTGAGATGCAAAGCTAGCAGCAACCTGCATTGCCAAGGGTAATAAGATACAGAGAAAAAACTCCCTACACGTGTATGCATGCTCACTTAGAACGAGGGAGAAATTTACCTGATTCTTTGCTTGTCTAAAGTCTTCCATGTTTAATGGCCTTAGGGTAATTACTCTCTCCTCTTTGCTGTCTTCTTTTCTATCCACAGTTTTCCCCGACTTTTGTGCTTCTGCAGCCTTCTGCCTTTTTTCCTAAGAAATTTCGATGGATATTACCTCACCAATCAGTTCTCTTCGAGACATTATATTTTTTTGGGAAAATAAATAACAGAAGGGTAGCTAAAAATGGATGCGACTCACCATATCCTTCATTCTTTCTTGCTTTATCAACTCCCTAACTGGTCGATAAGCAGCTGTTGTGCACAAGTTCTGTTTAAGAGATGGCAAGGTCAATAAAAACCTAGTGATGCAGTAGAATGGCTGAACTTTGCAAGAAAGTCTGACCTTAAGATCACTGCCGGTAAATCCTTCAGTCATAACAGCAAGCTCCTTAAAATCAAGTCCTCCTTCCACTTTTTCCTTTGCCAGGAGAGTTCTGAGTATCATTTCTCTATTCTCTGGGGAAGGCAGTCCCACCAAAATTCTGAACATGACAGCAAGGATTTAGGCTGTTTTGGTAAATCTAATAACTTGGAACATCAGCTAATCTCCCATTAATGGTTACTAAAATAATAAAAATACCTCCTTTCAAAACGCCTGATGATTGCTTCATCAAGATCAAATGGTCGGTTGGTGGCTGCAAGAACAAGAATGCGCTCGCCTTGCTTTGTCATAAGCCCATCCCAGTGCGTCATGAACTCATTCTTTATCTTTCGCATGGCTTCATGTTCCCCAACTCTAGTTCGCTGCCCAAGCATGCTATCAACCTCGTCAACAAAAATAATAGTTGGGGAGACCTTGGCTGCCAGCGTAAATAAAGCTCGAACGTTCTTCTCATCTTCACCAAACCATTTTGAAGTGATTGTAGACATAGATACATTAATGAAGCTTGCTCCAGCCTCCTTGGCAATGGCCTTGGCCAGCATTGTCTTCCCAGTGCCAGGAGGACCAAACAGCAAGATTCCCCTGCAAGGCTTTAGAAGTCCTCCTTTAAAAAGATCTGGTCTTCGTAGAGGAAGCATCACTAGCTCCTGAAGAGATTCTTTGATCTCCTCCAATGCACCAATATCAGAAAATGACACATTAATCTCATTTGCTGGTATCACCTCAGGTCTTATGCGCTTTTCAAATTCATTATCAGGAGGCACTTCCTGTTACAGAAGTGACTTTATTGGGATTTATGTTAATCAAAGAAATTTAAATAGTAAGTACATGTTAATCAGTACATGCAATTTAGGTGCTGAGGTGCTTATGCAAAAATAGCTGATATAATAATTAAAAAGAAAAAGAAAGCGGAACCTTTGTCGGTGGTAACAAAATGTCACCATCCGTCTTTATCCCTGAAGCAACCTTCTCTACTTCAGTTTTGCTCTCAGGTTTCACAGTATCAGCAGCTTTGGTTTCTGGCTTCACACCAGTGGTCTCAACCACTCCTGCAGGTTCCTACAATCATCCAACAAGTGGCATGGAAATAGCATTAGTTACTTACCAGTTCAGTTTTTCTCGAGCAAGTGTGATTACAATTAAGTAGGAAACCTTGGAAGTCTCAGCTTGTGCTTCCAACTTTAGTACTGTATCTTTGTCCACAGACTTGCCTTCCTGGAATATACTCAATCCATGGGATAAACTGTTTCACAAATGACAAAGTAAGTTCCTCGGTCATTTTCTTCAAAGGTGAAACGCCATTCTAAGATTCTAATCTTACCTCTTTGATGATATGAGTAGTTTTCCGTTTCGATAATCAGGATCTTTATTATTCATTAAATGATAAGAAACTGCAGATACCACAATCTCCTCTATGTAGTTGCTGAGAATCATTGTGTCTGCCATGCAGATTGAATCAAGATCATCACAATCAAGATCATTGGATGAAAGTACTTCCATGATGTGGTTTTTATTATCCTGAACTTGGATCATCTTCATATCGGCTTCCAGTTGAGATTTCCAGCTGACAAGACGGTTTTCATCTTCAGGAGGCCTTATCTCAATGTTATAAGGGAAGAGAGCAAGAAGTCTCTCATCGAGATCTACATCGTCATCCACAATTTGTGAACCAAGTATCAGCACTGATCCAGACAGTTTCTCCAGCATTTTCTTGAACAAATTATATATCCTCTGCGACCTAGATAAGAGCTTATCGATATCCCTAAGATACAGCACAATGGGACTGGCTTTAGACACATATACCAAAACCTGCACGTGAACAAAAAAATATCAGGATCCATCAATATGTTCGTGGATAAATACAGGATAAACTAAGCTCCAACATCAAGAAAAAATAAATGCATATAATACAAGGTTGCATTACATGGATTATCATCAAGAAAAATAAATGCATATAATAAAAGGTTGCATTATATGGATTGTTAAGTTGAAACTGTCTTGTTCAATATTGAATACCTTGTAGATGGACTGTATAAAAAGCTTCTCGTCAAAAGACCAACTGCTTGTTCGCTTCAAAGAACCTTTAATATTTATAAAAAAAAGTGAAAAATAATTAGCATTAGAAACAGTAGAATATTTATGGATACGAAATCTGTGATATATGAGGACAAGGCAGCATTGTACTTGTATTTAAACACACAATGCAAACAGAACCAAAGGAAAGACAATTTCACTGGTTCAAGCACTCTTTGAAGGTATCAAACAAAAAATCTATTAAGAATCCACCAAAAAGTCAGTTTCCAGGGAAAGAACCTTTATTTATAGGAGTGCATTGTGTAGCTAGGTTATTTATATTGGCTGCAGCAGAGGCATTTCTTCGTAGCTTTGGAGCATTAGAAGAACCTTCAAGCCCCCTACAGCAGTAGGAACAGGATCACATAAGAGGGAAAAAATACATGTATAAAATCAAACATGGGGCAACTAGTTTAAGCATTTCCAAAAGACCAATGAAGAAGAAGTTTATCCTAGTACTACCTTGAAGCAATATCTGCACCACTGTATTGCCTCCGCAGTCTTCCTGCAAAAGATCACCTAGGTCAGCGCTACAATAGAATTTGTAAAAAAAGTACAAGAAATTAGATTACATGCTTTGGCCAAATCATATTAACTAATGTACCAATTAATTTATTTCAAATAGCAACCATAATGTATTGAAAACCGCATTCCCTGTAATTTCCTTGTAAGACTTCTACAGTAAATGAAAAAGAGAGATGTGTTTATCATGCCTTTGGGTTCTTCTTTCTGAGAACGTATTGAAAGTGATCCAATGAAGCCAGACAGTCGCTCCAACGCTGACTCTGAAGGACATCTCTTTAAAGACTACATACATGATCACCATAAAGGAAATTCAATTGTTATCCTTCTTATTTAACTCTCTCTCCCCCTTTATATACACACACACATACATACAGAACAAAATGACCAAAAGCTTGAGGACATGATTATATATATATATATATATATTGATCATGAAACATAATGCATGTATGAATAACAAGGAAAGCCTACTGATTCTTTCATTGCATTGCCATATTTGCTCTGAATCTGCAGAAAACAAACCATTCATATATGAATACAAAATCGAGTGGAAGAAATATAATGTATCAGTAACTGCTCAAACTAACCTTGAGAGAAAAGTCGGTAACATCTAACAGCAGCAATTTAGTTTCGAAGTAATGAGCTAAAGCCTTTGCAAGCATTTGCTGGTAAAGTTCTTTGAGATTTTTAAAATATAAAAGTTGTCAATTAGAATTTGTTCAAACAAGTGAACCGATTATGTAAGTGCACTAATTCTCATCGAAGTCAGAATATAAAAGCTAAATAATCAACCTGCAGGCCCTGAAAGCAATATAGCTCGGCTGGCTGGCGCAAGGTTCCTTGTGTACTTGGAAACTTCAGCATGCTTCAAGTGAACATAGGCGGCACTCGTTAATAATGCTCTGGTCTGTTCACTATAAACGAAAACAAGTTTCAGTTAGCACATTGTAACTGTCTTTGTTTTTTATGGCTATGCGTTAGTTCTGATGATTCCCAATATTTCATTTCAGTTTCAGCATTCCTTCAGATAAGATCCAGTCACTTTGAATCAAAGTCCGTATCCATTATCCACAACCGAACTAGTTAATATTACAATAAACAAAGCTACTTAAAGCCAAATATCTGATGCTGGAAGAACAAGAAATTAACATATCTCTATTGTCTGCACACAGTTTTAGATCCTAGAGCTAATAGCATTTATTTAAAAATTGAATTCCATAAACTTTGCTCCATGGGAGTAAAATGAACATATAAAAACATAAAATTTTAAAAAAAATTCCTATATGACATTAGTCACGTTTTAAAATAATAAGATAAGCTGACTTAAACAAGAAATATATAAGGGATGAAGGAAAAGTAATTCAGGTCTAAATTCCAGAAAGGGAAAGAGTGCTGTACCAACATAGTCTGTAAAGAAAATATTAAAAAATCATATAGGAAGGTAAATTATGAAAAGCTACACATGAATAGAATATGTCATCGAGACCACAAAGAAAACTAATTTAATGGAAAGAAAGAAAATGGAAGAAAAAGAAATAATTAATTAAAGGGTAGGTGCAATATATAAGCATTAAGCATATGCCACAAAAATCCCAAACAAATACTATTATTTTATTATATAACCACCATGCTCATTCCCCTGCATCTACTAGCATGTAAAGTGAGCTGAATCTCAAAATTTGATTAAAAGAACGTAGGAATTCTGTATTATTGCCAGAAATCATCTTTTTTTTCAAATTTCCTAATGATGATTAACAAATAAAAAAGTGGATTAAGAATGATGATTATGGACCTGAGGTAATAGGGAAAGTGATCGAAGGTGACACCGCTTTCTCTGCCATCAATGACTAGCCTAAGTATTTCTTGCTCTAAATTCTCAGCGGTTATGGCGGTGAGCGACGGTCTACCTGTCCATTTACCAACTGTCTGCCCTGACGCTAATCCCAATCCTACCCCTACCCCGACACCAACGCTCAACGCCGATAATATTATATGCTTCTGTTCCATTAGATTCGGCCTAACAAGCAAGAAAAGGAAAGTTTTGTTTTTTTATCGAGAATTTCAATTTCTATATCAGAATATGAATTTTAAAATCAGAAAAACAGAGAGCGGATAAACGGAGAAGGAAGGAAATAAATGAATTGTTTGATTTTTTTGTGATTGAGACAGCAACCGAAAAATATACCGATCTATGCGACTTGCCTCTCTCTGTTTTCGTAAAAAGTTGTGTTTGGTTAGTTGGTAATTCGTTATAGCGAAAGAAGCGGATCAAGATGGAAAGAAACGGGGCGGTGGCGAGTGGCGGCGGGGGAGAGGTGGTTATAATGGAGGTGGGAGAGGAGAGAGAGAAGTTGGTTCCCGCTTTTTCTGGCTCCTCCCTCGGGTTTTGAGTTTTTAAAGCGGAAAGGATTGGTGAATGGTGCTGAGTGTTCAAAACAAGTTGTGTACGTGTCACTGTTTTGACGGCTTTGGGTTCGGTTTGACAGTTTATGAAAATAAATTTCTATTTCACGCTATCCTTTTCATGACCCAACTCCAGATAAATTTATAGCATTTTTTTAAAAAAAAGATTATTTATATTAAGATAAATATGTTGTTTCTGTTTGTCTCTACAAATAATTTAGTTATTCATAAAATTAAGAAAATTATTTTCTTTTTCCAAAAATCAATAAACTTATTAGTCTCATAAATACATAATTAACTTAAATCAACTTAATTACGATGAATCAATATGATTCATCACTATAAGCGATAGATTATTACCACTTGATTTAAGGAGACTACAATAATTTATTTTTCGTTTTCATGTTTCACAATAAATTTTTAAAATATCCTATTATAAAATTTTTAAAATTAATCTTTATATTATAACTAAGTAATAAAAAATAAATTATTTGAAATATTTTTCGATAATTAGATTTTTTTTGAAGCAAATAGAGGTGATAATTTTACTTTTTCTGTTTTAATGAAAGATTTAAAGCTATTGACAATATTTTTTGAAATAAGATTTTCAAATACATTAAATTAAAAAAAACTGAGTTTTTTTTTTTATACATAAAAATATGAGCATAAATTTATTTAAGGATATCTCCACGAACATTAAAATTTTAGAATTTTTTTTTATTCATTGAATACCTAACGGGTTAAAAGAATATTATGAGTTATACAATATGGTCTAGAAAAATTAAATTTGACATTTTTCACTCAAATAATTAAATTATAGCGGGTTGACAATTATTGGATTTTTGTTAAAGTATATACATTGTGAAAGAATATTTACATGATTTTTTGAAAAGGAAGAAAAAAAAAAAAGGTGGCAAGATGAATGCACGGAGTGCAACATGGCCCTTGGCAGCGGGATTTATAACGGAAAGAGTACCAATTTGTTCACTCAATTAGGGTGACATAGTTTCTGATGCCAAGTCAGGTGCTGACGTGACACTTCACAATAGAAAGAGATGATTACGTCAGCCATTTTGAATAATTTAATCTGCAAATGGATATGCATGCTTCTTCCGCTCCGCTAATTCTTGGATTTTACACAAACCAATTATTTCCACGCCCGGTCAGGCGATATTTAGATAGATAAAAAGCTTGTAATTCTTAAATTTTTTTTTTAAATTCAGAAAATTCCAACAACAATGGAGTCAGTACAATGAACTACGTAGGTAGACGATACTCTGCAACTGAATGATGTCAAGTACTCCATTATATAATAAATAACGGTAGCAAAGGAAAGGAGAAGGCATATGTATCTATACTGGAAACAGTCTACGGCTGTAATGCACGTGACATGGTGATACAATCGATCTTTCTGTCTCGTTAAAGTACGTAGCTAGTGGTCAGCTGAGCTCTGTTTGGCTTGCAACTTTGTCCAATCCCAGTTCAAGCTCTGCCAGTGCGTGTCTTTTTTCTTTTAATACACTGGATATTCAGGACTACAGGTTAGTTCAATTTGGAAGTGAGTTTATTCAATTATTTATAAAAATTAATTTATGAATTTAATACTTACTTAGGTGAAAACAAGTAGAGGTTCTACTAACTGATGTTCATCATCAAGAATCAGCAGATGAGTTGCGATTAAGAGTAAAAGACTATTTTAAGGCGTTGTAATTGACTACACATCTAGAGGATAAAGCACATAAGTTTTGGTGCAAGCGGAGTAAACTCGACTACTGCAGGGTTGAAAATAAAAAGACAAAAATACATTGCATGCATACGTATGAAAGCAGCAAATTATTTTAGTTGAATTCATTCTATAAATTTTTCAAGAACATTTGAGCTATAGTGCACAAAATTATGCTTTCTTTGCCGGCAAAACCCTGAAATTCCTGTGTTTCTCTTTAACCGGAACTGCTGTTGAAATTGCACGTGGCCGCATTGCGAATTGTCTATATTATATATATAATATGTGGGATACACGGGGCCATAATGTCTCATTCAAAAAAGAAGTGCCCAAACTGACCGGAATCGCACTAGAACAGGAACCAAAAGGCTGAAATTATAAGAAAAGAGCAACCACTTGCCCACATTAAGTTGTGATGGTGATGTGGTGTCAAAGCTTTTTCTCAATCCAAAAGGATAAGCATACCCTATAAAAGATATTGCATGGCAACAAGAGTATCTTCAAGCCATATCTCTTTTGCATATCACTGAAACATATAGATATCCCATTGTTCCCCATTATATTTTGCTGCAGAATTATGGAGTACATATGTTGGAAATTCTTAACAATTTTTTTAAACAGAAGTAATAGGAATGGGAACTCGAAGTTGGGTCTTTTGGGTAGATGGGATGTATGCACTCAGTTGCTACCTAGCATTTTTGCAACTGCATTTTGAATTTCGTATTTCTAATAGAAGATGGGCAAGTAAATGATTTTTTATTCATAATTTTGAAAGTTATTTGTGAGGTGCAATAATTACTTTATTTAAGATTCATTAATATAATTATAAAAACCAACAGAAGGTCAGGATGGCCGAGTGGTCTAAGGCGCCAGACTCAAGTTCTGGTCCTCGTGAGAGGGCGTGGGTTCAAATCCCACTTCTGACATTTTCATAAACGAGTTTTTTATATATATATATATATTTTTTTTTTTTATTAAGTCACGGTTAACTACGCGTGTAACAATGATTGCTATTTCTCATTATATAATCCACGTAGTAACGGGTTTGGATTTCAGTTCTTGTTTCTCAGTTTCAGCTTTGGACTTCTACAAGCTCAAAGAAAAAAAAAAAAATGAAAAGAATGGAGTAGTTTTACAAATGTTGGAAACAAAGATCAATTGGAGATTCAAAGGGAGAGCTTATTTTTTTCCCTGTTCCTGGTATAATTACAGACGTAAAAGATGTAGTGGACTAATTCTATAAATGGACAAATTATAGAATGGCCTATCAATCTCTGTCAATTACTACTAGCATCTTGTTGCTGGAACTACAAAGCATTTTGAACATTTGCGTCGATCAACATCTACCAAAGCAGCAAGCCTTCTCAGGGTACAGAAGAGCATAGCCTAGAGGAATAGCCCCAATCTACTCTTCTGAGATATGATCAACCGATTAAGGATCTACATGTGAAGTACAAGGCTAGCAAGTTATCTCATTAAATCTAAGAACACAAAGCCATTCCAGAGGCTATGCAAAAGCATAGATGGCATTAAATTCCTCGACCTTGCAAATATAACACCCATCACTACCCCAAGAAAAATAAGCGGAAGCATTCTCTGTACATTGAAATGTGCTAGAGCAAAGGCAACTGAGCTCACCAGGATTGCACACCATACTGGCATGTACCTGGTTAAGGAAGGGAGAAGGAAACCTCGAAAGACTATCTCTTCCCACACAGGAGCGCATACCGAAACGACTATTGCATACAGTGCCATTGCCACTGGATCCCGCGCTGCAATTGACTGCTCAACACTTGAGAGAGTGACAGGTGTAGAAGGCAGAATGGGCAATAGGCTAAGGTTGAACTGTGAAAGCCGGTTGACCAAGGGAAACATGAAGCATCCAAGAGCAACATCAAACATCCAATTACCTTTCAGGCTAAACCTAAACCAATCAGATGGAAGAGGACGAAATCGAGACAGACAACGATGCAGAATAGCAATTCCAGCAAGGCCTTCAGTTACATCAGTCACAAGGCTGAACAAAGCTTGTCCCCTGAATGTCAGAGATTCCTTGTTGAAACCTGCCATGTGGGCTGCAAAAGGAATCACCCAGGATCCTATAAACCAGAATGAGACAACCCAGAGAAGCATCACCTGCATCACAATATATAACTTGGTTGCTGCCGTTGTTTGCAATCATTAAACATTTTATTCCTCAAGAGCAAGATCTACCATTCATGCTACAAATGACCTATTACAAAGAGTATATCCTGGTTTTGTAAAGGAGTCAATTTGTGCAAATCCACCTAAGTTGTTTTATTTCCAGCTGCATGCTCAGAATTTAGTTGATATTCTGAACGTAAATTCACATGGTAATACAAATTAAAATTATGTAAAAGGCAGTAAGAAAATAAATCTTCCCATACTGTTGGATCCGCTCATAAAAATTGAGACCAAAAGGATCCATGAGAATAAAGTATGGTATCAGAAATAGGATAAGTCTCCATCAACTGCAATTAATAGCTTTCCTCTAGCTCCTTCTCATTTATTAAAAATTGACATCTCATGTTTATGATTAATTAACAGCTATGTAAGTTTATTATCTAGTCCTTATTTCCTATATGCCTGTCATATGATAACCATATGGAGAAAGCTTACCTGCATTATGGTCTCAGCTGTCCAGGGGACAGTCCATCGGCTCCCAATTGCTCTGCACACTACATCTGCAGCCTGAAATCAGAATAAGTAAAAATAAGTTTTTGACATTCAGAAATAATTGAAAATATAGTAAGTATTACTTGAGTTGGAAATCAGAAAATGCAGAAAATAAAAAGGAATTTGACAGGTGGAATGCAATTTAGCAAGAAATCCAATTTCTTTTCTTTTCCTTGGACTTTATGGCAAACCAAAGCATTGATGAAACATATATCTATTAAAAATGTAATCTTGCATTGGATCTCAATCCCATCCCTAGTGATTCAAGTGTGCAAACAATCTCAACGGTCCATTCATCATTATATTTGCAACAAGGAGAAGCAGCATCTTTGAATTTGCAGAATATCATACAGCACTTATGGATTCTCTGGAACAACCATTATTAGCTACACAGGCACTTTACATGTCCAAGGAAGAAATATATGATCTTCAATTGTCTTAAAAAACACTTACGTTTAAATTTCATCCTATAAAACCATAAGATGAATTTTCAACAACTTCAATTAAATGATATGGCACCGAAAATATGAAGAGAGAAGGGACTAAAATTCATCCAAGTTGTGACTAACTGATTTTAAACACAACATCATCCAGAAGTTCATTCTTTCCAGAACTAAATACAGATAATCAATCAGCTGCTCAAAACCAAATTCCTTCCTCGTACAAGCACCAAAAATAGAACTGGAATTGCAGCTATTGATCGAATTGAGAAGAAGTTCCAGCACACCAAAAAAAGTAATAAAACACCAAACAGAACCAAAGGGGAAAAAGTACCTCCCGAAGACTTGTTAACCAGTCCCTTTTAACATCAGTAGAATTATCTAGTTCAGGCTTCTTCACCAAATTCTCTGGCAGACAGTGTTCAACGCCATCAGACTTGGGATTTATACGTGAAAAATCTTCATGTCTAAAACATGAAATTTTCCATTTCTGCAAAGTAACCCACCAAACAATTAAAACCAAATCCTAAAAAAACCACTACTTTACTAATATCAAGTAAACATAACCAAACAAATTAATCATTAACTCAAATTTGCTCAAGCATCAGGTTTTATTGACTATTAAACCCAAAAAGAATAGCCCATTATTTAGTTCTTAAGAATGTAAGGGAAATTCCATCTATATTAACAGCTCAATTGGAGGGAGCTAATAAACTTCTAATTTTTTTTTTTTAAATCTTTCCTACATTTCCCTATCAACCAAAGGGGACTAGAATATCTATTATTTTAAGAAAAAACTACAAATTGAACCTATACTTACATTCTTCGATAGCTTGAAATGGGAATCGAAGATCCGAACATTCGCATGCCGGGTCGAAAGCGGAGAATTCCCCGGTCGATTAATAACCCTAAGTCTGGAAGTGGAGGGAAGGCAAATGGGGCCCCGTTGAAATAGAGGTTGAGAGCAAGAAGAGCTCAACATCGGGACTGATTAGAAACCCTAATTATTTGCATCACATGAATTTGATTGGACTTGTTTCCTCTACTCGATTGGGGATTTTACGAAAGGGGGAGAAAAAAGAAATTGCAAAAACCCTAGGTGTGTTTGGCAGTTGGAAGAAAGTAACAATTGGACGGGGCAGCAGCCACTCGGAATTAGATTCCTTTTTAACCTATAAGATAGGGAATTTGAAATGTGGTTGTTAATTCATTTTCTGGACGGATTGGTGTTTGGAAACGTGGAATTTGTGCCCTCTGACCTGATATTTGGGAAATTGGGATTTGGCATATTGGTTTTTCAACTAGTCAATTTTATTTCAAAGAAAAAATCATTTTTTTAAAAAAAAATTAATTTTGTATATCAGATGATTTTGTTGCAGCCAAAGAATGATTGAATCACGTAGTTCCTTTTTCTTTTTTGTTTCTTTTTTTTTTTTTTTTTTTTTTTTGTTTCTTTTTTTTTTTTTTTTTTTTTTTTTTTTTTTTTTTTTTTTTTTTTTTTTTTTTTAAATCATAGCTCAACAATAGCTTATATTTTTTTATAGAAAAGTTTTGAGAGTTATTCATTAATACTGTGATATTTTTCCTATAATATTTGATTATTTACTTTGAATAAATATTATAATTATACATAATCACGTATGCATTTTGTATTTGAAAAATATATATATATATATATATATACAGCAAGGTATGGTATTAACTATGGAGGATGGGGTTCTTCCTTTAGTTGAGGGGAAGAGTGTGAACTTATTATGAAGCACATTGATCATGAGGTCACCTTCATACCCCCCACTTCATTGTAATCTCAAAATGATTGATATCTTTTATACCACATCTATAATCTTAAATATAAACTTTAAAAATATGATAAACCTCATCGACAAATAAAAGAAAGATCATAGAATTATTTTTAATGATTAAAAAAAAAAAAAAAGAAATCAAATGATTTTAAAATCTCTCTTTTAATTTTTTTCCTTATGCAATGTTGTTAAACTTTTTTTGATTTTACGTTTTATTTTTATTTTGCATTGCTATTAATTTGATCAGAGCATATTGATATAGCTGACTCAAATTAGTTTAGAAGTAGATTCATACAACTGACTCTAATTAGTTGGAGACTAACTCATTCTGTATGTTCATTTTGGTTGTGTCACCTAATTCTGTCAATGTTAGACAAGGTACGGAGAAAGGACTTTCAGCTTTAAGTTATTTGGAAGTAACTGTTTGTCCATTTGGCTAGTAACAAACATCAGCAATTGGTCGCCCTAAGATCAAAAGGATGTGCAACAAGCACTAATTATTCAAAAAATTTACAAAATTCACAAAATTCAACTTTGAATAGCAAACTAGAAAAAATTGGCAAAGGTAATCAGTATAAATCTTCTTCTGATACTACAAAAACTGAACTTAAATTCAAAAAAAAATATATATGCTAAAAGGATATGAACTGGGTGACTTGCTATTCACCAAATGGAAACTCTTATCTGTGTTTGTATGTATTATTTATCAACCGGTGAAATATTTTCCCCAATCTCTTCGAACAATACCACCAACCAAATCCAGTCTATAATCAATACTGCAAAATAACTACATAGCCTATGATCCTCGAAGAAGCAAACTCATATGCAATTTCTTGCTGGCAGAAAACACGTCCTGGGAGCAAGAAGAAATATCGGCAGAAGAGTGCTCTACAAATAGTAGTTCATGCCCACCTCAATCAAGGAAATGTGAGGAATATCCAACATGACACCAGGGGACCGGCAGTTTTTACGCAAGAAGCAGTAAAAGATATTTATTGAAAGCCTCTTCAAGAATGAGGAATTCCATTTTGCCTTGATATGTGAGTGACCAATTACATATGCTACCCCAGCATGCTTCGCTTCTAGAAGTTCTGATAGCTCGTCCTTAACTAGTAAATTGCCGAAATTTGTATCTGAAAGCTTCAACTGGCTTCGCCGCCTATTCCTTAGTTTGGGTGACTCCTGCTCATACATAGATTGTAGTTTCTGCAAAGCAGCGGACCTGCTGCTACTTACAGCTGCTGTGGAGCTTGAACTGCTGCCTTCTCCATTTCCATCAGATTCTGAAATTATGAATCTTTGCCCAAACTTTTCGGATGTCCTTACAACTGCCATCCGACCATCCGTGGAACCATCCAGACTGCCACAACCTTCAGCTTCCAGTTGGATGAACTCTGCTATGCTCATCACAAGTGCATTCTCAGCATCATATGCATCTTCTTTTTCTTTGACATCCTTGTAGCCATTTCGAACAATGCAACGATACATTCGATAAGATTTGGGGCCAATCCGACCAATAAGATACCGCTCCTTTTGGGGGACAAAAGGCACAGGAACAATCTTAACACAGACAAATACAACAACCTGGTAAAATGCTGGTAAGTTGGTTAAGAAATGAGAAAATGTGGATGGGATACCACTAGCTAACTCTGAGTAGATAAGGCCAATTCCGGGAACCCTTACAAAACCAACATCAGAACCCAGAGTGAGAATCCATTTCATGGGTACTTTGTTATGGAGATCATATAAATACTTTTTCTTGCTCCCATAATGCCAAATAAACATTATGAACGTAAAGACTGCAGAAAGCACAAGAGGAACCCATCCGCCATTGGGAATTCTCATAAAAGAAGATGAAAGGAAGATGATTTCTATTATTCCAAAGAATAAGAAGTATAAAAGGGCAACACTGATACTCTTATGCAAGACAAAGTTGATGACCAATGACATCAAACATGTAGTCGTGAATACCAGAGTCATGAATGCAGTCCCTGAAATTACAGTTGCAACACTAGGATTACCAAGGCATCAACAGTAGTTTTAAACAAATGAAATATGATCTAAAATATCATTCTAGTTTCAACTGGCAGCATCTGTAAGATTTATTAAGAAATATTGCCTACCTTTTTATGGTCAACCCGTAACTCTGCCAATAAGAAGATCCTAGTTTCATTTCACACCAGGCATGTTTGTTCCAGATGAAAATATTGCCAATACAGCTTGGCACATCATTATCTGGGTGGATTGCAGGACTATTCATGTGTGCATACTAGTTGTACTAGGATTGAGGGTATTGCCCATATGGCTTGAGCATCCCTGCTAAATGAATGGTTCTTAACATTGACACAACACAGCATCATTCTAGTCACTTGTAGACAGACTATCTAGGAGTGGCAACAAGGTAAGGCAGGGACAGGAGCCATTTACCCATCCTCACACCCACACCACCCACCACAATATACTTTTTTGTTTTTTCATCTTGGTTTTTAGTTCAGTTCTATTTTTCAGGTTTCAGTGGTTTTTCTTATCACCCTTAAGCTTACCCCACCAAGCTGGAAAAGTTTTCCCCTCATCCCTGTGCTGTTCAGGGAAATCCCTTCACAGAACAAGCAACTCAAGACCACCATTGAAGTGAATTCAGAAAAATGAACATAAAGCATTTGTCAAACAGGTGAGCACAGCATCCATCTTAACTGTCCCATGGATGTTTCCCAATTCCTAATACTGAGTGCAAAGATTTGAGAGATTGAAAGTCCAACACACTTTCAAATGAAGAAAATAAATTCTCTATCTCTTCAAATTAAGTTCATGTTCACAATTATGACTTTTACAAGTACAATTGCATCACTCTATGGCAATATGCAGATGGAATATGACAATACATCTATATAATTAAATATTAAATAGTACCAAGGAAAAAAGACTAACCGTAAGCGTTTCCAATATGAATCGTGTCTTGAGAACCCACTGTGACAGTCAGACAGAGAACCATAAGAATCCAATTTATCTCTGGGATGTATATTTGACGATCAAGCCATTCTGGCTTGTGTACAATCTTAATACGAGGGAAACATCCAAATGCATGACATTGTTTGACAATTGAAAATGTGGCACAGACTACAGCTTGGCTGGCAACAATTGTAGCTAATATTGCCATCACCAGGACCGGCCAGAATAACGAATCTACAAAATAGGCAAAAACATTCTTTTAAACCACAATAATGATAATGAGAACAAAAATCGTTCTCATTGCTGTGCGTCAAGGGATAAAGACTAAAACAACTTATTTTTTTCGCATTCTTGTCTAATAAGGATAGAACAAGAAACTGAAAGTGAATTAAAAAAAAAAAAAAAAAAAAAAAGTTATAGATTCCATTGTACAGTTTTCTAAAGAAAGGAAGGCCATTGGTGAAACAAGTTCACATTTCTCAATTTATAGTTCTCTAAACAGCAATGTTAGCCATCAGAATATGTTATGCATAAATTTAAAGATATTTCGCCAGAACTCCTTTTTATACACTGAAGATGATAGGTAGTGAGCAAACATCACTATATGTAAGTATGGTGACAATGGAGTATAGCTAACAATTGGAAGTTTACCTGGAATTGAAGAATAGAAACTCATGGATACTGAAGAAAAATTTTTTGAAATAAATGCAGCTTGCCCCATGTACTGTAGCACTAGACATGGATACACAACAAAAGAAAATGCAACCTGCACATAACAACACATTCTAATGGTTCCATCTGACACAAGCATATCTAAGCTAAAATACTGGAAAGTGGAAAGTAAATTCAAAGCACAACCGAAGGCAAAATGAAGATACAATACAAATTCTAGCTGCAGTCTTTTCTTTTGAAAAAACTCATTTAAAAGGAACAATAGACCAAGTCATATTACGGAGAGACTATCACTAGTTTGGCATGCACAGATGTTTGTGCTAATTGCTAGCTATTCTAAGTTATGTTTTGCGAATATTAGATGACATCGAAACATTGAAACAATCACATGCTTTTGACATCAGATTTCTTGTTCATAGTTCTAGTTTTTACTGTCTGCATAGCAGGAGCATCAAACCTGTGAATATCTGAGAGTAACTTCATAATTAGATGACTAGCTGGGATGTCAAATGTACAAGCATTGAGGCTGAAGAACATTTTGAAACCTTAGAGGAAAAATAACGCCAATTTCCATGGGAAGCATATTATCCTCTTATCTTTAAGGTCTTATGTTTAGAATCTTCTATGCCACAACAGGAGAACCTAAAAAGCATAAAACTATGTTGAAGATGAAGCCAGTTTCTATCGTCAAAAACCATAATTGGTCAAGTTTTATATCTGTTTTCAAAAATATCACCTTCAGATTTAATTTGGAGTTAGATACTATTTCCTAAGAATGGCCACACATACCCTTACTGATGAAGCTGTGAATTGCCCAAGTTCTGCATGCATAACTTCAGTTCCTGTAGTTAAGAGAAAGACTGCATAAGTTGACAAAGAAAAAGCTTAATTAAGTAAATCAAATTAAAAGTCCACATTACCAGTAATACATAAAAGTATCCCTCCGAGAGATATCCAACCATCTATTCCAGTGTTCCTAAAAAACTTGTAGATATAATGTGGGGAAAGAGCCAGGTATACTCTTCTGTTCCAATGAATGATATTGTAGGCACCAATAATGGCAATAGACAGCAACCACAAGATCACAATGGGAGCAAAAATGAAGGCAACCCTGTGTGTGCCACTATATTGCAAAACAAAAAGGCCAATCAATACAATGCAGGCAATGAGAACCACCATTCCTGTAGGTATGCATTGGTGTTAGCAACTTTAGTGGTACAAACACATTTAAGGAAACAATCATTGCTGAAGAAGAAGCAGAAAATTCTGGCAACTCGTTCTACCCCTTATTCTTGTCTTTCTCTAAACCTTTTTTTTTTCTTTTGAGGCTAAAAGTATCAAACATAAGAATGCTCCATCAAGGTTCTACTTTGGCTTTTCTTACTTTTAAGTTACAGAAGCTGAAGAACATGACCATAAACTCAACTGAAATTATGAAAAATGGGGCTCACCCATAAATCCTCAAACTAGTCTGTAATACCATAGTAAATCATCCAACCCAAAACTCAAGCTAGTTCGTGGAGAAGCCAAAAGGTAAAATTAACCCATTGCAATATTTCACATGTATATATATTGAGTTACTCACCATGATGCAAATTCTTGTCTTGAAGTTGCAGCCCCTCAACAGATGAAAGGACTGAAAGGAATAGATATCTATCAGCACAATAATAAAATAGAAAAGTGGGACCAAATGAAACAATTTGGAAATGCAAGTAATTAATCAGCAACTCACTAGAAATTGCAGGGGTGAGTACACCTATAGAAATAACCAAACTAGCACCAAACAAAATCACAAGAAGCATAGCTGTTCTTGTTTTCTTGCGCCTCTCAGCGGACTTCTTGAATGAAGAGGAAGGCACATTTCTATTCAAATTACCTTCACTATGATATGTGGTAAGCTCTTCATCAGCGGCTTGCTGGTTAGGAAGCAAACAATATTTCGCATGTCTACAAAGAAGTGAATACAAAGAAAAAATTCCCCCTGCAAATAATTGAACAGTATAACCACATATCCAAATGACCGACAGCCCAAATAAATAAATAAATAAATACTAAAATTATCGTCTCTTATGCAATCAAAAAAAAAAAAAAATATCGTCACTTACCCTCACTGTTATCATCCACACTCAACATGAAAACAGCATACTTGAACAAGGAGAAAAAAGTTAAAGTCCAAAATATTACAGAAAAAGCTCCAAAAACCGTGTCCTCTGTTTGATAATGGCGCGGTCCCCCAGAAAATATACTTTTATAAACATAAAGAGGTGAAGTGCTCAGGTCACCAAACACTATACCAAAACTCTGATACGCTAATAGAAGAAAATGTTTTCGTCGAGGTTTAGGTTCGACCTGCAAAAGCGGAAATCAAACACTAAGCTCAATCAAACCAGTGAAAGCTACAGTTAGCATAATTTCACATCTGTAATTAGTAATCTGTGAAATTGAACTCGAATGAGAGCAAATTCAACAAATGCAGGCAAGTGCAATGGTTTAAATTGGAAAAGATTAGGGTTTTTCAGAAATGGAAATCGAAAAGAAAATTTTTGGCGACAAATGGAGTCAGAAACTTACCATGGCTATGTCTCTGGTTGTGGCTGATCCTTTTATCAGAAGAAGATTCAACTAGAGATTGAAAAGAATCAAAAGGTTCTTTTCATTGTTTGTTAGAATAATCTCGTTGCTGCCAAATTAATCCCTTTTTTTTTTTGTACTCTTAACGAACTGATCCAAATCCCGCGGGTTCTTTTAGTGTTCTGTTTTATGTGTGTGGGTCTATGAATGTCGGAGTAGGACATCCCCTCGACACGTCAGCATCAACCGTTAAATTAGTAATTTACAGAAAATTCTTGCCGTGTGCCAAGTGTAGGATCAACACTTCTTGTAGATGATTTGTACGGATGGAATTTAAATAATGGAATGTAAAATTTGATTCATAGATTTATTAAATTCTTTCATCTATTTGAAAAATATATATATACTACAATACGTGAAATTGGCATATTTTATGATTCAAATTCAATCAGTTAAAAAGATATCAGATGTGAGATTTTCTTAGTTTTATCATTTTTATTATTAATAGTATAATTTAAGTTATTTTATTTTATTTTAAAAATATCCTTCAATTTCATAGGCCATATTTTTTTTTTTTCAATCAAACGATGAAATGTGAAATTCCGTTGATTTTGTTACATATGAATTTTTACATTTCATCAGTCCAAACCAACTCTTAAACTTTTGACTTAAAATATATTTTTAACTTAGAATGAATTTTTAAATTATATATTTTTAAAAATTATATATTAATTTAGAAATAAATATCTAAGTATTTGGTAAACAACTTTGGAGTAAGTTAACTGTTTAGTTGATAGCTACACCTTTCAAAAAAAGTTGATAGCTAAAATTAATTGTATTAAAATTATCAAAAAGTTACGATAATTGAATAGGAAGTCAAAAGAGCTCATTACCTTAGAAAAATCAAACACCATATAATTACTATTTAAAAAAAAAAAAAAAAATTTACTTAGAAAAATCAAAACACATATAATTACTAATTTAAAAAAAAAAAAAAAAATGATCCATACAACTTTAGAATAAGGGGTGAGCAAACAACGAACCGAACAAACCAAAAGCTAAAATGTAAAACAAAAAAAAAAAAAAAAATGATCCATACACTTAGATAGGGGTGAGCAAACAATCGAACCGAACCAAACCAAAGCTAAAAAATGTAAAACCGAACTTTTCATACCAGAACCGAACCAGCCGGTTTTTGATCTGTCTTATCATTTCGGTTTTACCAAGTACAGCATTTTCTTATATTATTCACAATAATCTTTAGACTACTTCACCAGGAAACTCTGCTGACAAAGTTAGAATGCTTCAAAGGGACATCGTGACTGATAAATAAAATGCCAGAAACTAAAGTATTCCAATAGACAAGTAGATTCAGACTTGCTTCGAATGGGAAATCAAATTAAATGCTTTAACAAAGTTTGATCACTCATTTCTCCAAGAACATGCAGCTCACCAACTTTGACACCATATAAAGATTCTTGTTAAGGTAGCAACTATCACGTTCTTTAATGGAATAATGTACCAGACCAGGCAAAAAAACACAAATCTCTTAATGCTTCTTTCATTGATAGATTAAACAGGAAAAACCGTGTCAACTATGTAACATAATTAAGATAAAAAGAGAAAAAAGAAAAAATCATTGGCCCGTAAATAAAACGTGGCACGATGTCATTCATACACACAGCCTAAGAAGTTGAGAAATGTGGCAACTTAAAAGGCGAAATTCTCTCAATATATGATGCCATTGAAGCCTCTTTCTCTTGTGCAAAGAGCAAGCAGGGTAAACCATAAAGGACCTCATAAAGCAGCTATTGCTTGCTATCCAATGCAAGACAGCTGAACTGAGGTCCTAAATGGATAACACGAATAAATTGACAAACGAGTTTATCTGTTCTTTAAACCCATCAGAATGTAAGACCTGTTTGTTTATTTGCGGCGTCTGTTTGTGACCAAGTCTGGGTTGCCCTTTCTCATCATAGCTACAAACTCTTCATAGTTAATTTTTCCATCCTGCAAAAAAGTTTCATGAACGTTAATATTCATATTGTGAAGTTTTGTTCTATAGATGCTAGAAATTTTAGTCAATGGAACTGTTTACTTCTGTCCTAATTCAGAAAACAAATGTATCAGAAGAAGAAAAAAAGGCCAAAAGGCAGAAATATACATTGTCCGTGTCAACTTCGGCAATAATCTCTTTTATCGTTTTTGAATCGCCCATATTATATTGCTTAAGGGCATGCTCCAATTCTTCCATTGTAATGTACCTAAGTGACAAACATGAAATGACAATGTCCACATAAAAACTTGAGGGATAAGATTCCTATTAGTACAGTAAGTAGTTAGAAAGTTAGAAGAGATTACCCGCTCTTGTCCTTGTCAAAATATTCAAAGGCCTTATATAGGTGGTCCTCTCTTTCCATTCTATTCATGTGCATAGTAGCAGTGATAAACTCTATGTAATCAATAGTTCCATTTCCATCCACATCAGCCTGAAAAAACAGCAATGCTCATTATTCTCAGTTGAACCACAAAACAAATCAATTTGATGTATGATCCAAGATGTGAGAAAACTGAAGGCAAAAACACATTGAGAAAGAGACAGAGAGGAGAAGGAAAAACTATAAAGCCAATGAATGGATTAGAATACTTAATTGAGTACCATGATGGCTCCTCAGTTGCTATATAAGAAGAATAAAAATAACAAGATTGGAGATGTTACCGCTTCCATTAATTGCCTCACTTCAGATTCAGAAAGCTTGGTACCTAATTTCGGAAGGCCAGCTTTCAACTCTTCAAAAGTGATTGTTCCACTGTTATCTGTGTCCATGGATTTAAACATTTCCTTCAAGCCCATAATTTCTTCCTCAGAAAGATTTTCAGCAATAACCTGGAAAGGGAAGAAAGGAATTGTCACTATAATAGATCAAAGACTGGATGACAAAAATGATGATAGCTATGCCTTCAATCGACATGTGATGGGCGTAGAAAATGAAGCCTGCAATAACAATTTACAGATTACTTTGAGACCTTTCAGGTTGATCAGGCTTTTCGTTTACTGGGGCACTACGCCAACAAATAAGGTGCAATCCGTCTTCCTTCCCGCCTTAAGGCCCCACATCACAATGATCCTTCTGATGTTCAATAATTTACTTTTGCCTTTCATTTTTCAGCTTTTGTTTTGTTTTTGTTAATAATATCTCAATGATCTCATCCCACCTAGTCCTTTCCTCTTCCATTAAATTAAAGAATGATAAAAATAACTGACACTTTAACAACAATAGATATCTCACCTTTAGAGCCAATTTTTTAAGTTTATTCATGGCTCTGAATTGTTTCATTCTAGTTAAAACAGCAATATCAAGAGGCTTATCAGATGCATCACCATCTTCTCGCATCCATGGATGATCTGCAATGCAATTTCTCTTTTCAGTTTTATCAAGCCCCATTCTTCATTTATAGAAATTAAGGAACTGACAGCAAATTTTTCGACAAGATGAACTCAAACAGTTAGAATGGTTTTAATAAAAACAATATACAAAGTTCTGAACCTCTGATTACCCTAGAAGTTAAACAAATTTTGTTCATCAGACAAGCATGAACTAGAACAGCATACTGAATGAAAAATGGATATATTGTAATACACTGGAGATGGGATAGCTTGGTCACTTGGGTCAAACTATTGATCAGTAAGGATGCCAAGCACCAGAAAGCAACATAGGACTTTATTCAATCATAAGCGCTTGCACAATCTCAAAATTCAAATACTAAAAAACACTAGTGCACAGATTTTTGCATGTGCATGAGATATTACCAATTTTCTTTTCTTTTCTTTTCTTTTCTTTTTTTTTTTTTTTAATAGAAGGAACTAAGAAGAAGAAATCAAATGTTTAATTGTAGGGATAAGTTGAAAGCCTTTTTACATTCTTATCTTCAGAATAACTTTTCTGATAACAGTCTTAAAAATAAAAATAAAAATAAAAATAAATAAATAAATAAAAACTTACTTAGGACTTCAGCTGCAGAAAGTCGATCCTTGGGATCAGTTCTTAGCATCTTCTTCACAAGATCTTTAGCGCTGCTGGATATGGAAGGCCATGGGTCAGAAGAGAAATTGATATGTCCCCGAAGAACAGAGTCAAAGATAGCCTGCTCAGTCTCTGATTGTGCAAGAGAAGCCAGAGTTATCAGGGAGAACCAGAGAAGAAGAAGATGAAGTAAAAGAAAGTAAATAATGAGAGGCATGATCACAGAGCCACCTCTCATTCGAACATTACTAATCAATTTGGTCAAAGGATCTCAGAACACTCCAGAAATGGTACATAAATCTTAACTATAAATGAGACTCTATTATATCAGCTTAATTCACAATCAGAAATAAATTAAGCTCATGTCCAAAATCTACATCAGGAAAGACTGAGACTTTATGAAATAAACCACAACAATGGAATCAGCCTCACCAATGTTTCAAATGTTACAAATCCTCAATTAAGAATTAAAAGCCTTACCTCCCCAAAAGGGTGGGACCCCACTAAGAAGAATATACAGTATAACCCCAGCACTCCAGATATCAACTTCAGCTCCATATTTTCGACGTAACACTTCAGGAGCTACATAATATGCACTTCCAACAAGATCTTTAAATACATCACCTGCAATAACACAGAGACCATAAAGTTCAAGCCCATGACTAGTAATCCCTCAAATATAACATTGAAAAGGAAAATGCTTCATAATGGTGTAAAGGTAGATGCTTTCAAGTTCAGAATTCAAAGACTCAGGAACAAGTCAAAATATGTTTAGCAACATGGAAAACAATTTAGTTGTTATAAGAGAAACCAATAAAAATTACCAACTTAAAAACTAACTTGGCTATAAAAATTAGATATTTCACAACTCACTCGTGCTAAAAGGCATATTAAAGATATAATAGTATAGATTACCTCCAAGCTTTCCACAAATAAAGATGTCTAATGATTGAAAGAACTAATCCTATTCTCATGTGCTCAAGGATCCTCTTTCAGTCATATATTACTGGTATCGTGTATGTCAAATATTTCATTGTCACCATCATCGCCACTAAGAAGAAATAGAAAAATAGAAAGCAAAAGAATAAATTTTTAAATCATCGGACAGCCAGGACAATCACAAGTAACTAAATAACTAAATAAAATCCTACAGAAGAACTAGAACACATTACAAAGAACTATAACTGTGAATATGAACTGCAGAACCAGGAGAAAATCATTAAGAACAGCAAAACGCATATAGACAACCGATTACAATATTTTCTTTTCATCTTAATTTGTCATAGTTTTTATCCGAAACTGCATAATCAAATTGTTCTATTGATGCATTAGAGTAGATTTGATCTAAACTCCGTGTCAGTTGTGTACCATGTGCACAACAATCCCACTCTCAACATTAAAACAGTTTGATCTTACACAATAAATCTGAAACTGAACCGATCGTAAAACCAAAATTCACCTGGCTTAAAGAACACTGAGAGGCCGAAATCAGTAGCCTTCAGAGGGGAATTCTCATCTTTACTGAGGAAAAGGAAATTTTCAGGCTTCAAATCTCTATGTATAACTCCCATGGAATGACAATCATGCACAACAGTCACGATCTGTCTACAAAGAATGGCTGCTGCCCTCTCTGAATAATGCCCTTTCGCTATGATTCGATCAAACAACTCTCCTCCCGCGCATAGCTCCATAACCAAGTTGATCGAATGTCTATCTTCATATGCTCCCTTTAGCTCCACTATATTCCTATTGAAACCAGAAAAACAGAAAGAAAAATAAAATTGGAAACTTCACCACAAATGGGAAGAAAAATGAAATCTGCCCGTTGCTTATTTATTAGCGGATTGACCTGTGGCCAGTAAGGTGGTGCATGATCTGGACCTCACGGCGAACATCTTCAATGTCGTCGCGGTTGATGAGTTTGCGCGTGGTAATGGATTTACAGGCGAACTGTTCTTTGGTTTCCTTGTGAGTTACTAGATATGTGATGCCAAACTGGCCACGGCCCAGTTCGCGGCCAAATATATAGGTGTTGCGGACGTCCTCAATCGGACGACCGAGGACTCGGCCTACAGCCGGAGTGGTGGAGGAGGGACGATTAGAAGGTTGAAATGAATGTGGCGGTGGAGGACGAGGCGGAGGGGAAGCAGTTGCGGGGTGGATCGTGATGCCATTGGAGGGAGGAGGATTGTCGGAGCCGCCAGAGGATGTGGTGAAGCTGGAAGGAAGGCTGCTACAGTTACCCATTGGGTGTGGTCAATGTAAGTCAGAGGAGAGAGAGGCAGGTGAGTTAAGACAGTAAACGTGGGCTTCTTAAGACATTTCCGGTGTTGTGTCTTGAGGAAGGAGCAGTACATGCAATTACTATAATAGTCCCGGTAACATGTTAAGTTCTGTGTGGATTCAGTTCAGCTGGCCGTCCATTTGAGACCCCATGTCGTAGCCATGATTGAATTGTGGAGCTATGATCGTTTTGTTATTGGTTCTTAGCTATTTTTGTCGGTTTGCTTGCTAATTTGCAATTTAGGACCAAAATTTCACCTGCAATAATATAATGATACATCGTTCGTTCCACTAGGCAAGGTCATATGATCATATCCTCAAGCAATTGGAATGTCGTTTGGAAAACGATGAGAAAATTAAATAAAGAGAAACAGTGAATGGAATTCTACTTTTTTTTTCACATGAGAAACGAGTATAGCATTCAGTCAGTGGGCCTCAGAACATCTTGGAAAAGGGCCCGTCGATTATGGCTAACTATGGGCCAGAAAAAAGAACGCTGTGTTGTCATGAAAATAAGCCCAAAACTTATATTAAAAGTAGATAAATCGTGCGTCTGCCGGGAATCGAACCCGGATCTATTGCTTGGAAGGCAACTATCCTTTAGCCGTTGGACTACAGACGCCTGTCAAAACTTTACAAGCAAGTAAATCCACGAGCGAAATTAAACCGTCAGTTTCTAACGACTCCGTCCTAGGTTGTTGTTAATATTTCAAAATTTATATACGAAAATAATTATTTTATTTATAATAATATTTATGATTTTTTATTAAATAATAGATTTTTATTAATATTTTTAATGAGTTAACGGTAAAAAAAAGTAAAATAATTTTTATTGATTAAATTTTTAATACATGTTTTATCAAATCATGCAAATAAAATAGAACGAAAGAAATATTAAATAATTAGATAATAAAATTTGATTTCTTTCTCTAAAAGATAAAACTGAAAAAAAGTACTTTATTTGACATTTTTTTTTTGGCTGATTAACAAAAGTAAACTAGCAAAATTTTAGTAAAAAAACAATTTAGTTGAACTGTAACAAAAAAAAAAGGATTATATAATAATTAATTTTTAAAAATTGAAATAATTTTTTTTATACTTCAAAATTTGATATTCCAATTTATAAATTTATACATTTGCCAAGAGCCGAGCCCAGGTCTATTGTTTGGAAGGCAATTATCATAACCGTTGGACTACAGACACTCATTAACATAGTGGTCCAAATTAACTTAAAAAAATTAATTCATGTACAATAATAATAATAATAATAATAATAATAATAATAGGGACCAAGGAAATGTCAAAAAAAAAAATAATAACAGGGACCAAAGAATTTTTGTTCTTTCTTCCTACCCATTTGCAGAAAATGTTTACCCTTTGAAGTTCTATTGAAACCCTAATATATTCTGCATGTGCTGGAATTGCAAAATCACATAACACCTTATGATAATAGTGGAGCGAAATGGAAAGGAAGGATAGTGATCCATTTGCACCTCCACAAAGCCGCTGCAAGTTTGGGAGCATGGAATAGTTTTCAATCACCGATATTAGGCATCCAATTCCATTGTGTGTTGGGTATTATGGCTGTACATGTCATTTGATTGACAGTTCTTGCACAACATGACCATTATCTTTTTATGTACTTCAAAAAAAAATCTGGGGATTCCCGTAAAATAATTTCATACAAGTCAATAAAGCTGATACCTTTAAGCTACATTTAAGTATATAAACCTATCAAATTCATCTTAAAAAATACCCTTTGATCAACACAAGGTATATACTTCTTTTTTTTTTAAACTAGCAGTTCAAATAGTAATGTCAAATGAACTTGAAATGAACTTATTCTTTCTTTTTTGTCATGTCTACTCTCTATCTCTCTCTTACTTAAAATGGAATATGATCCTTCTGTTTTAGGACGCTACATATATATACATACTATCAGCAACCTTAATGCCAAGTTTCAACCTCACATGAAGACATTATTAAAAAGTAAAAAGATGCAAAATCATTAGTGGTTAAGGATCAGTGTCAGAAATATGAAAAATCTCAAAGAACACCTCACATAAACTGACAAATGGTGGTGAAAATAGCAATTTTGTACAGGTTATGTGTGAGGTTAAGATAGAAAGAGAATTGGGATTTAGATAAATCATTAGATACTGCAAAGAATGGTCACAATTGATGAGAAGTGAGATTATTGGATAGAGAAAATATTTTCTGTGAATATTGGAATAAATTCCAGGGCAGACAGAGTAATTAATTTCTGCAGAACTATTCCAATAGGAATGCCCAGGACAGGAAGAAAACTGGAAAGCCTGAAAATGGAGAATACACAGATAGGGCATATAGAAGGTGACCAATATGCATGGACTATTATAAATTTGATTCTTTTCAATCTCTGCCTGGAGAAGCTGTCACCTATGGTGCCAGAATCAAAATCTTGTTTCTTTTGCAAAGTTAAATCTCCATTTGTGCATTCACAGGAATTTGGAAAGGACTCACCATTAGTAATAGTATATTAAGACTTAAATGATCAAGAAATATTCGAACAACTAGAGAAAATCACTGAATTAAAGAAAGATTTTCTGGGTCACAGCTTGCATCACCTCCAGTCAAATGGTTCTCTTTCTCCGAAACTACCAATGCGTCTGTTATTTTTATTTTTTCATTGAGAAATAAATTTTGTATTCTTCCTCGAATATATTCTCTTATTCTTGAAATTCTAAAGTCTCCCTCAATTTGTACCCCTGAAATGATGCGTTGCACTAGTAGTTAATTACATATTTTGAGTTAATTTATTATTCATAAGTAACACATATATGGAAATATTGGGATTTTGAGAAGAAAAATATATAAATATGCTAATTCTAAAGCTTGTCATTATGCACTTTAATTCTCTGTCATGACAATGTAAGGTGAATAAAATTGCGTTAGCAATCAATCACATCCAATTCACTGAAAACTCTAGGCATCTATTCGCGAATTCATTTACAAAATACAAGGATCACTTGGAAATTACAAAGAGAATTAGAAGGAAAAGAAAGAATTTCATAAAAGAATAATATAACACAAAAAACTAAGCTCCTGGAGTATACTGAAAGCATATACTCTGAAAGTGAATGATATTGAAGAAAGACAGGAAGAAAGAACATAGCATATGTATGTATATATATATATATATATATGTGCAATCTCTCTCAAGAAAGAAAATAGTAAGACCTATCTGTCATAGCAAAGGTAATATTCCATATGAAGAAAGCAAGAAGATGTATTTATTTATTTACAGGAAGAGAGTCAGTCCATGCAGCCTGTTTAAAAAGGGAACTTTTAAGGAGCCTTCATGCAAAATAGAAGAAAGTATCTATAAATACACCACTGTAAACCTGTTTTTAGTAAGTGACAAATCATACAATGCTATACAAGCTAACAAGAGAGAGAAAATTAGAAGAAATTAACCTAGATAAGATAATTTATACTCAAGATTTGAAAGCATTAATTCAATCATTTCTAGTTTTATTAGCCTTAATTTTTGGATTAGTGAAAGAGAATTGCAGCTGAACAAGAAAAGGACATATATTACAAATTGAAGAAAAAGTTGAAATACTATTGCTAACAAACGAGTGTGCAGGAGGATATGTGATATATATGTACGATCTTCATGGGTTTCAAAGAACATTTAGAAAAACAAAAAAATATATATTTTATTATTATTTTACTGCCGAATATTTATACATATCAGCATATAGTATATATACACATTTAACATACTAGTAAATTTCTTGATCGATCTTTTTCCACATCTGTTACTATTTATATTACATTTTACTGCTAAACAAGCATTATTATTGCCTCTGTCATGGTGAAAATATTTCGAAAGAGCAAAACGTGGTTACTGAAAATTGCATGGCCATGCAATTTTCAGATTCTAATTCTCTTTCCATGCAGCATTATTGAGTTAAGCATCTTTATCCTAAACTGTTTAGTTCCATCTTCTCTTCTATTATTGTTGTATTATTATTCTTCTCTATATACATATCCTGACCAGACATACTTTCTTCCCTAGTTGCACCTTCCTCTTAGCCTCCAATCCTTCTTCTTTAAATTGCAGTACACAACTCATTCACATCTCACCTTAAACAACATCAACAGCTTCTCTCTCATTAAGAGCCAAGTATATTTCTTGGACAATATAATTCAAGAAACCAAGTTTGTAACTTTATTTAACATTACAGCAAACCTGAAGCAAGATAGGCTTAAAGATTTAGAAGAGTTCATAATACTTGATTGGAGAATGAATGGAAAAAAAGGCAGCTTTGAGATCAACATTCCAATGGCTACCAAACCAAATAATAAGCAACTGCAAGACGAAAAGAAAGATGGATTTGCAGGATTTTCTTGCAAGGCTTGTATGTGGAGAGTGTGGAATTTTGCTAAAGAAGATAGCAATAGAGTGATATTCTCATTCAAAGTGGGGCTTGCTGTACTTCTTGTGTCGTTGCTTATACTATTCCAAGCACCTTATGATATATTTGGCACGAATATCATCTGGTCGATCCTCACTGTTGCAATCATGTTCGAATACACAGTCGGTATGTTCAATAAGGATTACACTTAGGAATTATGACATATTCATGTTTATGTTTGTGTGCAAATGCAATGTGAGCATATGTACTAAGTATAAACATTTATGCGTACTGAGGAAACTAACAAATGTTTCATGCAAATTTTTTTTTATCGTTGAATTTCTTAAGGTGCAACTTTCAACCGAGGGTTCAACCGAGCACTTGGGAGCTTGCTTGCAGGTATATTGGCTATTGCAGTTGCTCAGTTAGCTCTACGCAGCGGGAGGATTGGAGAGCCTTTTGTCATTGGAATTAGTATCTTCATTATTGGTATAAATTCTGAAAATTATAGCAAATAAGCAACAAAAGAATGAAACTTTCTAAGTATATACTAAATATAGTTATATATATGCAGGGGCTATTACGTCATTCATGAAATTATGGCCATCTCTTGTGCCATATGAGTATGGATTCAGGGTTATACTCTTTACCTACTGTTTAATCATAGTTTCTGGTTATCGAATGGGGAATCCAATTAGGACTGCAATGGATCGACTGTACTCTATCGCCATTGGAGGGTTTGTAGCAGTTCTAGTGAATGTGCTGGTTTTTCCTATTTGGGCTGGGGAGCAATTACACAAGGAGCTAGTCAGCAGCTTCAATTCAGTGGCCGACTCTCTTGAAGGTAAGATACATATTGGGATGCCAAATTTTTGTTCTTTTGTGGAAGCAAAGTAAAGAGTATTAAGACAGACCAAAAGATGAATAAGAGATTTATAGTTATAGTAGTACAGGAACTGATATAAAAAAGTATTACATTTCCATGATTTTAGAATGTGTGAAGAAATATTTAGAAGATGATGGGTTAGATCATCCAGAGTTCTCCAAGACCGTAATGGATGAGTTTCCAGATGAGCCTGCTTACAGGAAATGTAAAAGTACATTAAATTCCTCCGCAAAACTCGAATCCTGGGTATATTTTTTTAATATTTATAATTTTTTCCCCCTCTTAAAATAATGATTACAAGTAATAACAATGATTATGGTTCTTGCTGGTTCCATTTAATAGGCTCATTCAGCAACATGGGAGCCACCACATGGCAGGTTTCGACACTTCTTCTACCCATGGTCAGAGTATGTTAAAGTTGGAGCTGTTCTAAGATATTGTGCTTATGAGGTTATGGCACTTCATGGTGTATTACACTCTGAGATTCAGGTATTTGATGCATATCTTTGTTGTGTCTGTGTGTTTATGTCTCTCCGTGCGTTTCCAGTGTGCAACTTGAGCATTGCTTGTTATATATATATAGCAACTTGAGCATTGCTGTCTAGATATATATATTATATATATATATATATATATATATTATATAATATATATATGCTATAGCAGATGAGATATTCACATTACTATTTAATAGAATTAGGATCCTAATTGCACCCAAGTATGCTGGCAAATGAGGAATTTCATAGTCTTTCTTAAATCAGATCTCTTATAACAAAAGAATACGTCAAAAAGAACTTTGAAGAAAAAAGAAAAGGGACCGCGAACAAACATTAAATATATATTATAGCAGATGGGATATTCACATTACTATTTAATAGAATTAGATCCTAATTGCACCCAAGTATGCTGGCAAATGAGGAATCTTTCATAGTTCTTTCTTAAATCAGATCTCTTATACCAAAAGAATACTTCAAAAAGAACTTTGAGAAAAAGGAAAATGGGACCGCGAACAAAACCATTAAAAAGAATTATGCGGAGGATTTATTCTTTTCAATTGGCTTCCATTAAAGGGTGGATTTCACACACGAATATCGACTCATTTAATGCTTATACATTATTGATTAGGAAGTATCCTATTATTTGAGTTCTTGCTTGCTGGTACCGCTTAGCCCTGCCAATTAATGCCATAGCTTCGGGGCAAGCTATGTGGTTCAAGCCTTTTCCGCCTTCCATCTAGCGTTTCCCTGCTTGAGACTTTTTTATTAGCCCAAGTCCTTATGCTCGGAAATGTCATTGCCTAGTCAACTATTTCTGGGGCTACTCACATATTTATCAGTATTCATTTATTCTGTCTCATATTAGAGCAGTGTTGCCACAATGACAAACATACAGAGATTCCTATGGCTGGTTCAAATATTCATGCACATAGAGAGCTCCAAAACATCTTATGAATAGAAAAATTTTTAAAAGTTGTCTCCATGCACAAGATTCCTGCATTGCAAAAATTGCATATGCAAAACACAAATGGGGATGAGAACAGCAGGAAAGAAAGAATTGGTAGTGTTCTGAGATAGCAGATTCATGGATTTTCAGAATGGAAGCGATTAACTGAACAAGGAAACTGTACATTACTTGATGTATGCAACCTGACTTTGAACCATTGAGCTCCTCTTTTCTGCCTTCTGTTGATAATTCTTTCTTAGCCAATCTTCGGAAATAATACGGCTGCAAATCTTTAGTTTTCTGCAGCAGATTAATATAATTATTAAGAGCGACAACAGATAATCTGGCAAAATTTTTACTGGTAGATGTAATTTTGAAACATTTTTTGAATGAATTCCCAATGTGTAATTTCTTGATATTTTGCAGGCACCATACAACCTCCGTGTCACATTCCAGCCAGAAATTCAAGAAGCAGCAACACAGGCTGCAGAACTAGTAAGGAATTTAGGCAAAGACATAAGTAACATGAAGCGAAGCCTGAAAACGTCACTTTTAAAGAAAGTTCACAGTTCAATAGAGCGACTCCAGCGCACCATAGACATCCACTCTTATCTCCTAATATCTAATTTTGATCCTCTCGACAACTCTTCCAAGCCACTTCCTAAATTGCCTGCAACTCTTTCAACAGCCACCAGCTATGACCTCTCGAATCAAATTCCTGAACTTGACAGCAATAGCTTAGTAAAGAACTCGGATCTAATAAACCAAAACACTCCTTCAGGTACTCTTGCACTAGGACAACCGGTGGATTCTTACCATGAGATGATGAGGAAGCAGTCGAGGAGGTTGCATTCGTGGCCATCGCGGGAGGTGGATGCATATGAAGAAGAGGGAGGCTTTAATGTGGATTTTCTGCCAAGAATGAGAGCATTAGAGAGCACTGCAGCACTGTCACTTGCCACATTTACCTCATTGCTTATCGAGTTTGTTGCTAGGCTTGATCATTTGGTTGAAGCGGTTGATGAGCTTTCAAAGATGGCCAAATTCAAGCATGAGAGTGTATAGAAGGAAGATATATTATATGTCGGCATATACAGATTTTGAGATGATACTGATGTAAAAGATATATTACTTGAACTGACAATTTCAAAAATGGGATAGCAAGAGGGGAGAGGATTCTAAAACAAGTTGTAATCACTTGAAAATAAAGTTTGAATAATTGAACATTTAGTTTTTTAAGTTCAAAAATTATCTGTAGCACATTCTTTGTGGTTTTACAACAGAGGAAGAACCAATATGTCTATCTCTTGTTTGTCTTTTTTTTTTTTTTTTTGGGTTTCTTAAAATGAAAGAAAAAGAAAGAAGACATCTAAATTCATAATTAGTTTAATAACCGACCATAATCTCATCTCAGAAAATAAATGCAAAGAAACATAAATGAAAAGCATTATTTAACTTCCCCTGTTTGACTGGCTAACAGTCTGGTCCAAATTAGTTAGTTTCTGCCTTCGTTTTGGCGGAAAAGAAAGAGTCAGAAGAAAGAAATACCCACAATTTAGGCTTGGTTTGGCAGAGTTCCAATTCCAAGTCCTCTTTCTTAATTCCTCTTTATTTAGGAGTTTCAATTTGCTGAAACAACCAAACCTGTTAATTCTGTTCTCCCAAATAAATTCGAACTTGATATTATAAGTTTTCTCATCTAATTTTAATCTAGCAATAAGCAGTAAATTTAGTTAGAAAACCAACAAGCAGAAATTCCATCTATCAATGAATCAGAGCAAATCTGAAAAATAAGGCACACCATTAAAATAGTTTATACCCAGTAATAGAATTCAAAATTTAAACACTCAAAGCACCAGTAGTAAATATAATACGCTAAAGGGATTTATTAATGCCAGAATGTTTGACAAACAGACTGATCTTACAGGCTAATAACCTGTGTACACTACACAACCACCTGATGGACAAATGTAGCTATTTACAAGGAAGAACAACAGAGACCTGACCCAATGCTAACTAAAGTCCTAGTTGATTTATCCAAATTATGAAACAAGGATGGTCAAAGCCCTTATACTTTCTGCCATTTGAACAAATGAATGGAGAACAAGTTCACAACACCAACAAGCTAAACCCAATAAATGTAGACGACACAACCATTCATGAAACTTCGCCAATTGCCGAAACACACAAGGGAAAGAGGAAATAATCTTACATCCAGCTCTTAGGCACTATGAAAGATTTTTGTGGCTCTGATGGATCACTGCCCAGACTCCTTGAGCCAGTGCCAGAACCACCAGCCAGCATTGCCATCAAACTGCCACCATGCACCCTGCCTTCTGGTACAAAAACAGGTACTGATGAGAGGCCTGCTTCCCCAACAGGGATATGGGCATTTGGGACTGCAAAATCTTTCAAATCAGAAGTAGGTTTGCTTGCTGAAGCCCCCAGATTTGATCCCATCTTTACAATATCAACATTCATGTCCTCAGCCGCGACTTCTTTCAACTTCTGAGGCTGGCTAATCTTGGGCTCATGGATGATGGGTCCCAATGTAATACCACCATGAACCCTCTTGTCCTGCACCAGGCTACTATGAAGTGCACAGAGACCTGTCTTACCCCTTGCAAATGAGTTGCAAGGACCAGTAGGCTGGACACCATATTCTGATCCAGGATGACCCCAAGAGCATCTCTTCCCTCCACCGTGTGCCTTGCAGAAATCTGTGCTTCCCTGGGCACTTTTGCCACACCCTTCATATTTGCATCTCTTTCCACCACCATGACGAACACAAAAATCTGTCCTTCCTCTTGCACTCTTAGTGCACTCAGGTACAGCACACCTCTTTCCACCTCCGTGTGCAACACAGAAATTCGTCCCTCCATGAACACTTTTTGTACAAACCCCACCACCTTGGAAGGCACACCTTTTCCCTCCTCCATGGCCCTTACAAAAAGGTGTACTTCCTTCAGCACCCTTGGTGCATCCAGGAGCTGTACAGCGTTTTCCACCACCATGTGCTTTGCAGAACAACGTACTCCCTTGTGCCCCTTTTGTACATCCTGGTGTTTGGCATCGACGACCACCTCCATGTGAAATGCATAGTCCGGATAGGCCTTCAGCACTCTTCGTGCAATTTTCTTTTTGACATCTCTTCCCACCACCATGGCGAATACACAATCCTGATTTCCCTCTTGCAGCTCGAGTGCAACCCTCACGACTACATCTTCTACCACCGCCATGCGCAATACAATAATCTGTGCGACCTTCTGCACTTTTTGTACAACCAAGGAATTCACATCGTCGGCCACCTCCATGGGCCTTGCAGTATACAGTTCGGCCCTCAGCTCCCTTGTGGCAACCTGCTTTCTGACACCTTCGGCCACCACCATGGGAAATACAGCGTCCAGAAGCACCTCTAGCTCCCTTTCCACATCCCTCAACCTGACACAGCTTGGAATTACAACTGCGTTGATGTTGTTTTTGTCTCTGGGTTATCCCAGAAGTACAGGTGACTGAACTTTTTGGCATTGTTATCACACTTGATGAGAGGTCTGGAAAAATAGTAGTAGGATCACAAGTTCTTGGGACCTGGTTGAGAAAAAAGCTAGCATCATTATTCTGTGAAGTCAGCAATGTAATTCCTGTTTTCCAACTACATGATGTTGACCCCTCATCCACATTTGAAGCCCCACCAAAAGCAAGTGGCATCTCCATGCCAAATTCAAGTGGAATGGACGTCGGACATGGATAGACACTAGTAATGTCAGATTCAGAAGGCCCAGTAGAAAGACTCAACTCTAGATCAAACTTGGGCTGCAAATCCAGTCCTTTAATCTTTGAAACAGCAGATTTCTTCGGAGACATCTTCTCATTGCTGAGATGGAGGCTGAAGTCCAAATCAAGATCCATTGAGGACTCCTCATCAGTTTCTTTGGCTGAAGACACTGTAGTGCAAGCAGTTGCTGAACTCCCCTTGCTGTCTGAGGAACTTGATGGGCGGCCTAGACCAAGAGACAATGAAGAGCCAACATGCTGACCCATGGGTCCATCTATCCAATTCCATTTCCGTTTCATTCCCTTTGAGGGAGACATGTAAGTGACAGAAGAACCAGGGGAATCAAGACGTAAAATAGTATCTGTGCTATATTCAGCCACAGGTCCTCCAACTTGCGTTGAACTTCCCAAAGTGTTGAATACGTTTGAGGGATAATTAGCAGCAAAATTCAAGTTCTGGAACTTGTTCTCCATACAGAATGCTAAAATCCAAAATTATATCCAAACCTAATATCAATATCAATGAACAGTACACCTGACTTCTGGGGTCAAGAATTCAACTACAAAACTAGGGTTAGATGTCTCGAAAAGAGACCATCCCACCCCCACTAACAAATCCAGAAGTATCACTCCGATCCATTTTCTTGTAAATTTACCACAAACTGGCTGGTCAATTGCAACTTAAGAGGATAAATCTGAGTAAAATGGATTCCTTCCAAACAACACTGTAGCAGCGAACCATCCTGTTTCAGAAGTTATACAATAAGAACAAGGTAAGTCTAACTAAAATAAAAGCAACCGTATTCAACATTATAGAGAGAGATTAACAGCCTGTTGGGCATTGTGGTTGAAACTGCTTTTATAAAAAAGAACCATTTTAGATGCTGTTGGGAAGGAGCAGAAGAAAAATATACTACTATGACTTTCAACTGTGATTTATGAGTCATTGAGTTAGCAGTTTTCCCATGCTTCAGTCGCTAAAAAGTAAAAGAATTTGCTATCAAAGATTAACATATTTTAAAAACTCCACACGAAATAGAATAGTCCAGAAATTTTGAATGTTATTACAAAATTGGGAAGAAATAAGGTTGAGCAAGTTGTTTGTCATACACTAGAAATAGAGCAAGAAATTAACATGACAGCTATCAAATGCAGGCCCCTCAAGTTCTAGGAGAGGAAAAACAGAGTCAGAAGATAAGAATAGAATACAGCACTCGACCAATTAGTACTGAAGAGATATAGAACAGTCGCATTGTCAACTGACAGAAGAGGAAATTTGATGAATGCACAAGAAAAGGTGACCAAAAGGAAAAGGCAAATATTTTCTTATGCATGCATCAGTTTTTTTGATACAGGATGGCAGCTCAAAGATAACAAATTAATACTATTACAAACTGAACAATAAGTTCCTCTGTCAACAGGGATGAAATTAACTGCTTTTCAATTGCAGAAACACCAGGAACTAGATATTGGAGTTTCTTAATGCCTCGCCTAAACAGCTAAACTTGATCAATACTTAGACACAATGCCTTATTGGTGCGGTTGCTTTGTCTTTGAGAAGAACAGCAACTTATTGAGACACAATCATTCAAAAATAGAAGAAAATAAATAACCATTCACTTAGAAGACATCTATTCACGGATGGAAGCAAATCAAATAAATAAGGTGACAAAAATTACAGTTGAAATCATCCCTAGAAAAGTAAGACATTTAAGAACTAATAAGAAACAAAGGAATGAAAAGATATGAAGTGGCATCTATGAAATAAAAGAATTACAGAAAACAGAATTCAATAGAGAACTACGCATCTAAAACTTAACAAGTTTCAAAAAAGGCAAGTTGAGCCCAGCCAGCCTTTAGGCAAGCAAAAGGAGTGAATGAAACAATCTTCCATTTTGAGAACTGTAAACCCTTCTGAACAATAAAGCTTCTCTTCTGGAAAAACATAGCATGAATATAGCTTAACATTTTGTTTTTTTTACAAAAAGAACAAGTTTTGACAGCTACATGAGCCGCAGGACATGACAAATCCGAATCCGTAATTCACATGTTAGCTCAAATACATAAAAACCACGAATCCATGTATAAGATGTAAACCAGAACTTAATTAACCTTCGCAAACGAAAACAGCAAAATGAAAAAAAAAAATTTTAAAAAAGAAAAAGAAAACTCTGTTCGGCTGCTAAGAAATCGAATAAGCGGGAAACGTTATAAACGAAAGTTTCGATAAAAGTTAAATCCTTTAGTCCCCCAAGCATAGAGTTCTCAGTTCAACTACTTCAAGACTTGAGTTTAGATGCTAGAGCTCAACAAATTCGAAAAAGGAAAAAAGGAAAAAAAACACATCTTGAGCTAAGAATCTCACTTCATTGCAGTTTCTCAGCAGTCAAATGGAGCATGAACTATAAGAATTTCGATTCAAAAACTTAAATTTAATAAAACAAATGAAGAATCAATGATTCAACAAACAAAACACAAGATTTGGAGAAAAACATTGATTGAATTAAGGAGATTACCTCAGAACTGCAAAGAAATCGACGAAAAAATCAGTGACATGGAGATGTGCAGATCTAAAGCAGGATTTTTAGGGCTTATGGGCGGCGGCGAGATAGGCGGAGACGAGGCGGAGAGTAAGAGAAAGAGAAAGATGCGAAGACATGAGGAGAGAGTGTGGGGTGGAAATAACGAATGGAAAGAGAGGGAGGGGGAGAGAGTGCACGTGTTAAAGAAAAGTGGGGTCACACGTGCCGAAACTGTGGGTTTTTGGAGTGCTGAGTGCATATCATTATTTATTTCTTGAAAGTAAAAATTAAAAAATAAAATAAAATTAAAAGCGGAAGATTTTTTTTTATCTGTCAGGAGATGTTTTTATATGTTCTCACGCTATTTAAGGCATCCTCTTATCTGTCTCTACGTCTGTGTACATTGGCAATAGAGAACACTTCTATAATTATTTTAATTCTCTTAATTTATATTATTAATTTAAAACTAATATATAATTTTATAATAAAAAAATTTAAAATTACTGAGTAAGTTGTGACAACAAGTAATTTAACATAAGTAAATGTGTTTATAGTGTCAATTTAAGAAATAATTGAAGTAACAAGACATGTTTTAATCGAAATTATGAATTTTTAAACACACTTACGGGGAGGTATAAGAGCCGTATCGATATTTTTAAAGTCATTTTGTAAAACTTATAAATAAGAAAAAAATAAAAAGATACGATAAGAGAGGAAAGAAAATAAGAAAGGATGAAAACAGTAGAAAAATCATTTATTTTTCTTTATTTATTTTCCTCTCTCTTATTTAAATGGTAGGAAAATATTTATATTTTCTCTTGTTCTGAAAGTTATAAATTTATAATTTTAACCTTATTCTTCCATATTTTTAGACCTATAATACGAATACAATTATTGTAATTTAACCCAAAATCACCTCCCTCAAATGTCTTTTTTACTATTTTATCAGAGTCTTTGTACATAACTTATAAACAAAAAAATATCTCTCTAATTATAAAATTTTTTAATTATATTTTTATTACATTTTAATTATTTCTTCTAAATACAAAGTGACTTGAGTGTTAATAGAAACATAAATTAAATATCTCAAAGTTAATTTGATTATAATTAAATTTTTTTTTTATATAATACCAATTTAGTTTTTTCTACATCGATTAAAGTCAAAAAAAGTTATTTTGTTTAAAGGATAAGAAAACATTTAAAAATCTCATAAACAGTGTTTAAAAAATCTTGATATATTAATTTAATTATAATTTTACAGTTTAGTTTATATTTTTCCAAACAATTACAGTCAAGCCAAGGGAAAATATGGATGTTGTTTAAACAATTTCTTCTCTTACACTTGACATTGAAAATAGAATAAATCCTTTGACTTGGTTTATAGTTTAAGAACATGTTTCTTCGTTATATAGTTTTTTTTTTTTTCAATATATAATTAAAATTATTTTTTTATAAAAATACTATTTATAATTTTTTTAATGTATATTGCGTCCGAACACACGGTGTAATTAAGTCTTTCCTTCGTCATACGTAGCCATGTAAAACTCGATAAGATTCGTCGCACCACTTACATAATTATTCTAATTTTAACTACTTAATTGTCCACGTATTTCAAAATTTCACTTTTCCTGTCTGATTCAAAAAAAAAAAGTTTCCCAATTAGATGTTGTCAGATGGCCCAGAATCAGATCCATTGAACGTAGACACGATGCAAGACATTGTTCGTGTGACCTTTTTTTTTTTTTTTTTTTTTTTTTAAAAATACTATTTATAATTTTTTTTAATGTATATTTGCGTTCCGAACCACACGTTTGTAATAAGGTCTTTCCTTCGTTTCATACGGAGCCATGTAAAAACTCGATAAGATCGTCTCGCACCACTTACATAAATTATTCTAATTTTAACTACTTAATTGTCACGTATTTCAAAAATTTCACTTTTCCTGTCTGATTCAAAAAAAAAAAAAGTTTTCCCAATTAGATGTTGTCAGATGGCCCAAGAATTCAGATCCACTTAACGTAGACACGATGCCCAAGACCATTGTTCGTGTTGACCTTTTTTTTTTTTTTTTTTTTTCTGAGCATCGAGTAATTGGAACGTATATGGTGACGAAAGGAGCGGTTCGGTTGTAGCTTGGAATTGAAGACGGGGTAATATTTGACATAGAAGGGTCAAGCTAGGTCGCGCGTCGAACGAAACGATAACGAAACAGAAAGAAGGGCCATAACCTTCCCCAGTCTGACACGTCAACCAGAACATGACATATTGGACATCTTGATTTTCTAGTCCGGCAGCGGCTCCGTCAACCGTTCGTTGTGCTTCAAATGGACCCCACTCCACCGCGCCTTTTAAAGTGGTGGTCCCACCCTTCCCTCTGTAGTCACCCATTCTCAAGGTCGTCCTTCCTACAGCGGCGGTTTGCCGGTTTTCGCTTATCACTTTAACGCTGCTTGCCACAGTTCCTTATTCCTTTAACCGCGCTCCTAAAGTTCCTAACCCATGTCGTGTCCTTTTTAATATATATACATATATTTATATTTTTTTTTTTTTCGTATTTTTTTTTTTTTTCGCACAAATTATATTATTCGGTTTAAATGAATTAGAGACTAAAAATTATTTTAAAATGAATTTATGCATTTCTTATGGTATAAATTTGAAATATAAATTTAATTGAATTCTATATAATTTATGATTTGTATGATTTCATATCTTTGAAAATATATGAGTTCATAGTTGAAAGTATTTATTCTTACTTTCTAAAATATAATAGTAAAATTAAAAATAGTAAATTTTAGCTCTACAAAAAATATTATACTTAATACAACTAATAAATATGCAACCTAATCATTGATTAGGTAGATTATTTAAAAAAAATTAAAAATGCAACCTAATTTCTACTAATTCCATATAATTAAATTCTTAAAAATAAATTTTAGTATCTACTTTGAAACATATGGGTTTCATAAAATTTTATATAATTTATTTTGAATTCCAAAACTTTATATCTGAACATTAAAAAAATAGATATTTTGGGTTATAAGATTTATATGAAATATATAAAGTGGAAGACATTGGCAATTTTTTGTACCAAAAACAGGAAAAAGAATGGTTCTAATACATTTCTAAGCTGGAGAAAGGTCAAATTTATACCAACAATTAAAGTCAAAGAATTTGATTCCCTCCTCCCTCGTGAAACCTTATCATTTAATCTCCTACCACTAGATTTTGCCACGCAGGATGTCCATATTGAATATTGGCCGCCGGATCACCAATCCACTGATAGATGGTCCCCCATTGTGTGAAAAGCATACCTTTTCTTTTTTCCCACCAAAATTTTATAAAATAAATAAAATTTTAAGAATTCTTTTCCTTGCATCTATTTTTAGTCTATCAATAATGGATGGTGGAGAATGCTTAGAATTAATTAAAGCATTGCACTTCGTTAAAATCTCAAGTAAGACCAAGGTATATTTAATAATAAATATATATATATGATATGATAATAAATTTAAATTTAAATTTATTTTTCATTTGAAAATAATTTCAAATGAAGTAGAACGATGGAAAGAAAAAATATATATATTTAGGAGGAAACAAGATTTATTTTTTTATAAAAATTGAGGGGTTAGATTTCGTACTTAGTCTCTATTACACACTTTTATAATCTAAAAAAGTAATTCTAACTGAGCTTTTCAAAAATATTAATTTTTTTTTTTTAATTTGCACATATGTTTGCATGTTAATATTGCATATCATTATCCATACATTACATCTCATCGATCTTTTTATATACTGAAAAGATACCGAAAATAAGAAATTTTACGTTTGAATCATCTTTATTATAAAAATTATCAATAATTTAAAAATTATTATTAAAAAGGAAGAACTACGACTATTTTATCGGTCTAAACTTATTCCGGTGCATTGAGCCTTCCGGGCAATAAGCAAATTTGTTGCAAATATTAATATTTTAGTATATGTAGAAAGGTTAGGGCAGGGCAGGGGATATGCCGATGGGATGTTTCCTTAAGATTTTCCCACGAAGAATATGCCATTTAATATTCGAAATCTATCTAAAAATTTTGATGTTGCACGTGCAATGTCTCATGCACAAAAACCAGTTTTCATGTGCCTACGTAATTAATACATTATTAAGTAATATTATAACACGATTAGTTCACTACTATTACTCAAGACAAAGGAAAAAGAACAAAAAGTTAAAAAAAAAAAAAAAAAAAATCCTGGGTGAGCAATAATAGCTGATATAGCTAATTGTGTGCATATAGATGATGAATATTTTAGTATAGTGTAGTGGAGACACGGCTTGATAGTTTCTCCGAAAGGGGGATAGGTGATCAAAGAATATTGTGTCTCTTGTGTGATGTTTCCTTTAAGGAGTTTTCCTCCACTGGGACTATCATGCACTTGTGTGTTATTTTCGCTCTCGAAATAGTGCTAGAGTGCTGAAATCTTTTGATGTCCTGCACGTGTGGTCTAGGTGTTACTCTTATGATAGACAAAAACCGCAGTTTCATGTGTCCTAGGCGTAAATTAATACTATAAAGTGGGTGATATTTTTGACGCCACTATGTGAGTCAGCGTGACTATTGACTCAAGACAAAGGGGAAAAAGAAACAAAACAGTTAAACTCAAAAAAAAAAAAGGAAACATGATTAAACGGTATTAGCATTTTGTATTATGTGTCAGTTTCCAAGTTGGTGCCACCTTTTTCTTGATTTTTGCAGTACAAGGGACCCTACGTGATCCTTCATTTTGTTGTGCATTGAAGGTTGAACTTCGAAGCTCAGAATTTTCCGCCTTCTTCTCTTTTAAAAAAATTATTATAAAGGCACAATTGAACTTCCATTGTGGTAAGGCCAATCTATTTGGATATGTGTGTGGGTGTATTCTTCTTCGATTTTGTTGGTAAAGCTTAAATATATATAAATAGAGTCGCAATTTTTATCTTGTTGAAATAATTGGGTGTAAATAAATTTGTAAGAAGAACTCCTTCTTATAGAATTGGCACTACAAATATTCTTTACTGTGTGAAATTTATTTGGTCTATTTTGATGATTGCAAATTATTAGATATTTTTTTGTTTCAATGTGTCTTAGGAAGTTTACGAATGTATAGTGATTTATGAGGTGGTGAAGTGGTAGAACTAAAATCAATTATCCTATTGATAAATGTTGAAACTTTCGATATCCTGATTAGCGTGACGAATAATTAATGTGAT